GGCTACAGCCCACTTCGAACTGCAAAAGTACCGGTAGCAGTATAACAGGGTAGAAATGAGGTTGAGTGATAGAAAAGGTCTACCACTGTAGGTTTTTAAAAATTGTAGGATTACAGAACCACCCCTTGCACAAGTATAGATCTGACATAGGTAGAAAACCTTCAACCACAAGATCATGTGCTTTGCGAAGGAAACCAAGTTGGTATTGAAATCTTTAAATCATTAGTAGAGCATGCAACAATTTCACCTCTAAAGGAGACTAGGATGTAATGTTAGAGTAATTACTGTGGCTGATGTGGCCACCTCCTTCCGGCACCCAACTTTTCAGAACAGATCGTCAATATCCAAGGGACGGGGCTTAGTATCAAGGTCCTTTCTGACCGTGTAAATAGTAAAATATGAATTTTCCCATTATTTTTTTCAGCTTTCAGGTACGCACATTAATCTACAAGAGAATTCTGAGAAAGTTTCGACTACAGTGACTACTTCAGTCCCAATGAATTGCACATTCGATATAATAAATCCAATAGTTCGTAAGTTGCTATTTTCATATATCTGACTATGTCTGACTTGTCCTAGGCCTACTGCACTGCGCATAGATAATGCACGCTTTTTTTTATTAATTGTTTTAATTTGTTCTATTATTTTACTGTTAAAAGGAGTAATATGTAAGTATGTTAAGCATATTGAACGGATACGATGCATTTGTAAAGTGACTAGTGTATATGCAGTATCGGCGATTCCATATTTTTGTAGGGGTGGGAGCAATGACTTGATTGAGCCACTAAGGCTGGGGCCCGCCCAGAACCCCAGTGGGGTGCGGGGGCATAGCCTGTGGGGCTCACGCATTCTAGTGGTTTAGATGACCAATTTAATTTATTTCTGAGGAGGAAATCTGACAAATATAATGCGTCGGTATAGGCTCAATAATGTAGTTTGTTGATCTATTTTTACCCACTCAACTGACAATTAAAATGAAAAGAAGTCTCACACAAACAATTTTTAAGTGTATGACTATGTTTCTATGAAATGGCCAACTTATATTTTGATAGGGTGGGGCACCCCCTTGGAATCTCCGCAAGTGTATATGTGTGCAAGTTTAATTTTAACGCCTTGTTGTGTTTTTCCATAGCGTCCTTGTCTAGAATCGATGTGGTAATAGGCGAGTGTTCTTTAACAATTAATGGGCCAGATAGTACTTCATTCAATACAATTGCCGTGAGAGATTTTGTACGTGATGGAAACACAAATCTCACACTCAAAATTCAGCCACGTGTCGGATCCTGCAATTTAAATATAAGCGATCCAGTGACGTATACCATTGAGGTAATGTGCTCTTACAGGATGATTGTTAAGGCAAGGGAAAGAGAGAGAACATATTGATACTACATAATCATAAAGACTTAGTCAATTGTTAGTTACTGGTTTAATATAAGGCTCTTTTAAAGCATATGGAAAACCCAAAATGTACTTTAGCAAGCGAAATAATGCAATTAATCTAGTAATTTTAGCTTAAGGGTCTACAGAAAGCCTGTAGCATGGGGGTTCGAGGGGTTCACAGGGGCGGATCTGGAGATGTCCCAAAGGGGGCCGAAAGTGGGGCCCATCGAGATAACACCACCCCAGGGGCCGGGGAATTCTCCCCTCCGCGAAATATTTTCTAGACGCCCGAAAATATCTCTGATGCGTTTTGGGCGATATTTTTTTTCCATTTTTTTCCTTTGATTTATTTTTCACTTTCAAAAAGGGGAAAGGGACGGCCCCCTAAATCCTCCCCTGGTTCGAAAAGAACCACGTTGAAATTAACTCCAAACATTTGACATTTAGCATTTTTATGAATTGGTGATGTTTTATCCTGAAAAGATCGTCTTCATCTCATGGCGGGGATGAGGTGAGTGTGGACTTAAAGTGCCCTTTTGTTTAAAGTTAAAACATCTCTTTAGAAATCCTGCCTACGGGATTTATAATGCGTCACTATATGCAATGTAAATGGTTGATCTTTTTTTACCCACTCAACTGACATTTAAAATGAAAAAAAGTCTCATACAAACATTTTTCAAGTGTATGACTATGTTTCTGTGAAATGACCAATTCATATTTTGATAGGGTACGGCTATATAAATTTATATTATATGCTACTATGTTTTTTCAGCCGTACCCCCATTGTGTATTAGAGTGTACCTGACGATTATTTGAATCTGTTCAACCATAAAGCCTCTGTGGTCTAATGGTTATGACATTCGCCCTTTACAGCGAGAGGTCGTAAGTTAGAATCCCGTCGGAGGCATTTTATTACATATGTATTTATTTATTTATAGCACAACATTCGTTGAGAGTTATACTAGACGAAGTACAATCATGTACTTTATTCGAACACTGTATTTTATTTATTTATTCTGTTTACTGTAAGATAGAGATGGTGGCAGGTTATAAAGGAAAATAAACTCCTATTCCCAATGGGATTCACCTACCATAGTACTGTACAACCAAATATTCAATTTTAGCCAGCATATTCTTAAGCCAGGCACCGACGACAGGACGCCGTCTGATCAGAATTTAGTGATCCTCATTGAAAACGGTCCGTCGCACGCGCCTCGTCACGCCGCGTAACGGTCTTAGTGGAATGACTCCCTGCTGTCGCAGCTTGTGCTTGCTTTAACCTGGTTCAAAAACGAATTTTCAACTGTAGGCCTACAGTTAAAAGACATTGGTTTACTTGTTTGATCATCAATCTGAGTTAAATCCCAACCTTGATGTTAAACCTTTGTAGGTATCGGTGGAAGATTTCGATGGAGGACGCTGTAATGCTGCCAGTGATCCACATTATAGGTCTTTTGATGGAAGGTTCGTCACATGCTCTTCATGTATTATTATTATAAATTCAGATATTTAAAAAAAGAAAGATCAATAATTTTTACATTGTTTAGCACTACCTAATTTAGCAACTATATTTTATACAATATGAAGGAAGCCTAAGTAATTTATCAAAACATTGAGCCTGAAAATAGGCCTATATTGTAAGCGTTTCAGATAGCCGTATTCTTGTGGCTCTGATCAGCTTCTTTATACGCTAATACACAAGCCGGTCATTCATTTAGATTGTTCTACTCTATAATTCATTTTATGTACTATCTTACCGAACGTGGTTATGTTTACAGGAAGTCAGCCTCTATAATTATTCGGCACTGTACTTTAAAATACTTTGTCAAGTATCCAGCAAATTGCGAATTGAAAGTTATGTTGAACATGAACTGAAACAGCAATTTTCTAGACAAGTTCTCTTCTGATTCTAATTTGGAAACATGCTGATGATCAACAGCTTTCGCCGACATATGCAGCATAAATACAATAATTGAACATAATTTAAAATAACCCTGAAAAAATATCAGTTTGGTACCGTACTACTCATTAAAGATTAAGTGCTCATCTTATATATCGTAATGAGGAATTCTGTAAATTAAGAAGGATGCACAGTCGGTGACCATTTTTTAAGAGTCAACTTAAAACATTTGCTCCTAAGCTTGGCTTCCATACAATCGCTCACGCTATCACCGACGGTTTTCTGGTGATGCTGATCGGGGAGCATTCCCGATTGCACTGAACACACTGTAGCGACAGTGTAGCGATTTTAAGGTACCGAGGCTTAAAGCATTCAGAGATTACGGTAACTCTCAGATGGATGTACCATGATGAGGTTTACCTTGCTTGGTCGACATTTATAATAATGACTAATCCTATAGACAAAATTGCCCTTTTGAAAAGAATTTAAAATTGAATCGAACCATGAAAAGATGATGAAATCGGCCTATAAAAAGTATTAAACCATGCGAATCTTTAATGCAGACTTATTCAAGGTTATAAATGTAGAAACAAGCTCCAATTTATGTTAATAATATGGCTAGGTTTATCATTCCCTCACATATGTTGACATCATATCTGATATTGTAACTGTATAAAGATTATTACTTGACATGTTTGTTGAGTTACTCTAGATTTTTAGCTTTTACCATAGTTTGCATTGTAAGATGACTCAGTTCTCTGAATGAATTAAGCTGTGGTTATTGCAGTGTACCGTAACCTAAGATAAGAGTAAAGTTTTAAAAGATAACTCAAACTTATATCTGATACTGAATTATAGTTTTTTCACTTTAGTTGTTTATTATTATTATTATTATTATTATTATTATTATTATTATTATTATTATTATTATTATTATTACTATTATTATTATTACTATTATTAATTATTGTTAGTCTATCATCATCATCGTCATCATATCATCATCATACTAGCCTATTACGATTACTGTTTTATTATTATTATTATTATTATTATTATAATTATTATTATTATTATTATTATTATAATTATTAGGTACTATAACTGGTACCAAACCGGAACCATTATCGTGCACCAGAACCTTTACAGAGATTTTGAGGTAAAATAATTAAATAAAACGATTTTTTGACTGTGTTTACGTCTTTGACAATATTTGACAGATATGCAGATATACGGTAACTATTTATCCAAAAGCTCATGCTGTACATTGAATTTTCGTCTACATAATGCGTGAAAGGCTTTAGATGAATATAAGCATAATATAGAATATAAGATGATGATGATGATGATGATGATGATGATGATGATTGATGATGATGGTGATGATGAATGTGATAATTATGATAATGAAGAAAATCGAGATGATAAACATGGTAATGATCAAGAGAATCATGATGATGAAGACACTTACAACAACGACGACGATGATGTTCACCATAAATTACTTCAATAATGACAATGATGATGATGTCAATGATATTTTTTTTTGCATATAGAATTATTAAGAATTATTGTGAAGGTTAGTTATCCTTCTTTGCATTTTGTATGCTATGATATCTGTTTAAACAAGATCAAATAAATATTTAGGTACATGGCCGTGCGTGGAATTGTTGGAGCGTCTCTTGCTTGTGTGGAGTCGTCATCCGCGAGGGTGATGATGTCGCCAGTATTGATATGTGTGACGGCCAGTTTAGTTACTCACCTCCGAAAGTTAAAAAACTCAGCCATGTTACCTACAATGAAGGATTTAAAATATACAGAGATAGCTCTGGGCGAAGATTCACAGTAAGTACAGTACACCGGAATGTGCCCAGGTCATTGGTGGCATCAGTGACCGACGGGGAGCGGGGTGGGGGTCAGGGTAGTTTTAAGCCCCACCTACGGACAGGCTAAACCTGTCATACCACGGTTATTCACGACTCGATGGACCAACAGGATAAATTGGCCTATATCTGGTGGCCAATGAAAGAGGGAAGTGCCAAATTGAAAGATTATCATAATGTTTCAAAGTAGTGCCACTCACGAAGACAACTACATTTAATCATGGAGCTATAAAATTAATTTAGCATTTTTAGAACTCGCATGATTTAACAACGATATTTCTATAGGTCACCACACCATCCGGATCTTCAGTGACCGCTGTCGTTACAAGGTATTGGATCACGGCTATCATCACTGTTCCCAGTGATGACTTCGGTAATTCTAATGGCTCTTGTGGATATTTTGACGGAAACTCTACTAACGACTTTTTGCTGCCTTCAGGAGAAACGTACATGCCGACAAATGTTTTTCAAAATTATCAGCCTTCTAATTTCACTGATTCATGGAGGTACGATTTAAGACATTGTGTACAATCCAACCTTTGGTATATGTAGGGTTTTAATTATACCTTCTTGGCCTAGTATAATACATACTCCAAGTATCGAAATGCACGCCATCGTGTCGGGGTTCAATATTTCGACATTAATTATGTCATCATTCCTGATGATGACATAATTAATGTCGAAATATGATGACATAATTAATGTCGAAATATGATGACATAATTAATGTCGAAATATTGAATCCCGCGATGGCGTGCATTTCGATACTTTATGTATTATAGGCCTACTATCTTATCTGAGATTAATCAGTGGACCTTTCGGTGCTTGGCCTACGTTGTTAATAGGAGACGGTTTGTAATATAATTCTCTCAAAGTGCATAAATAGTATTTGTTTCCTTTAGATCTAACTCAGACCTAAGCTTGTGCCATAGTATTTGGACAATTAACCATGAGACAGTCTATCAATGAGGCGTACGGTAATCTATAAACGATAACTAATTCAACCACTGTATTTCATCATCTAGTATTAGCTCAGTCGGCTAAACTGGTGGTAGCCACTTTCTGTGCGCTGATCCGTGGATATGTCTTGGTCCCCGGTTTAATTCCCATTGCTCCTGTTCCTGTATTTCGTCATATTTATTATCATTATCAATTAACTCTTTTTTCTTCAATTTTTATTTTTTCATCTTTTTATTTTTCGTCTTCATAATTAATCTCTTCGCTGGTAATTTTATTAGCTCCTTTCTTCAATATTTTTGTTTGTCTCCAGTTTCTTTTCATCTGTGACATCTTCCTTCCAAAACTGTTCTGTTTTTCTTTTATTGTTTACATAATATTAATTTTTTCTTCGCAATTTACAGCGATAGTAGTTTTGATAGTTTGTTCAATCGAGACCTACCTTCTGTGCCAACAATGACACCATCCACCTACTGTAAGTGTATGTCAGTCGGTACTGATGAAGTGTGCTCGAGTGCAACTATGGTTAATAACGTGTATGCCGTCTTCCGATCTGGATTGATTGATATTACAGATAATGTTGCATCAGGTGAATCGTCCAGGTGGGCCTATTTTTCATAGATACGTGTACTTAACATCAATCTTACCAAAGCGTCATGACTTAATAGTTGTATGTGTTTTATTTTTTTTTTAAGTATGATGAATCATAACAATAATACTACTAATAATAATAATGATGCAGGGGTGGCGCAAATGGGGAGCTCCCCCTCCCCATCGGGAGAAAATCCACAAATTGTCGGGAAGATTATATTTTCTACATATTAGTAGACTCAAAAATCGATTAAAAAAGCCCTTGAATCCCCTTAATAATTGTCATATTTTTCGGGGGCTTCGCACCCTCGACCACATCGACCCCTTCGTCGGGGCAAATGCAAATCTTGGCACCACCCCTGTGATAATGATGATAATACAAATAATGATAATAATTAACAATAATAATAAAAACAATAACAATATTGTGATAACAATAACACGAATTGATATTATTCTGCTTAAAAAATATTAATAATAATAGGCCTAATTGAAAGAATCCATGCCTTCAAATTTCTCAATATCAGTGGCACTCATGCTAGCATTAAAATAATTTAAATAGGCCTACAGCTTCACTTAAATACTATAGAATAGTATTATAAATGGAATAAAGGGAAACTTCTAGGTAGACAATGAACAATTATATGTTAGATTCACGTATAATAATATTATCATACGTGAATCTAACAATTATATGTTAGATTCACGTATGATAATATTATTATCATACGTGAATCTAACGTCATAATTTTAGGTTAGTATGACCCATTCGGATCACTATTTTCCAACATTGCCCTCAAAACTTTACAATAATTGTCTAATAGTACCGTGTTTAATTTAACTGAGGATGACCAAACATGTAGAACAACTACCATATTATAATATTATAACAACAAGATGTTGGCTACGAGCTTTCAACCATATTTTGTTACTTTTTATTTATGCAAAAAGGCTGTTAAATAAAAAGCCTGATTCTCAGGGACTTAAAATGTTTCGAAGATCAAAAATATCAATAGAGAAAGGTATCCACAGTCGTATTTTTTTTTCTGTATTACGGTACTTCTGTTCTCATTTGAATTTATAATGATGTACTCTCGTTTTCTCTTTTTTTTCTGTACCAATGAAAGAAATGAATAAAAAAAAAAAAAAAAAAGTTGGCTATCGATAAAATGCATTGGGCCTCAGCTACTAGCCTGCAGTGCACATAAATTTGCTAATTACGACCTTGATTTCCTGACGGTCTTGATTCCTTACAGGAGACGCCGTTCCACAGGACATCACATTCAGAAACGTTCCGCATTTGAACCAACCAGGACAAATGTCACAAATGAGACACTAGCATGGCCATCAAATGGAATTACAGAACAGAATGCCACTGATAATTGTAACTCAACGCTGATAAACTCCGAAATCTATGCAGCATGCAAAGACCTCTTTGAAAACACAGATGATCTTCTAAACGAGTGTGTTGAAGACATCCAGGTTAGCCTACAATTTTGAAGGACTAACAAAATGACGTAATACAATCGCAATACAAGTCCAAGGACAATGTTGAATGTGTAGAAACTTTATTGGGAGATGGACAGGTTAAGCAGTATTTCTGGGATATTTGTATAACAGGGAGGTCTTTGAGTATACCCTCCCTTGCAATAAAAATACTTTCTATATCTTGCTACAAAGCAAAGTTTCTTCTTAACTTATTTATCAGTATCCTTGTATTAGAAGCTATTCTTTCACTATCCATTATAAAAGTGAAGATGTATTTTTTTCATGACAGCATCATTCTGGTTTTGGCTGGCCTTTACACGTTCCATCATGTCGGCGTGATTCGACTTAAAAGGCTGAATGTCTTAAACCATGCGATTGCTGATATTCTGCCAAAGTATAATTGATAATTGTCATTTGTCAATACAGTATTTAGTATTTAATCTTGACTTAATGTGTCAAATCAGCTTACAGGTAGTTTTGATAGCGTGAATGATATACTGGAGAGATTCCAGAGCCAGTGTGAGACGGCAGTAGTAAATAATTACAACACTTCAAGTGGTAAGTAGGTTCGTTGGTATCAATCACTACGAATCAAATCCTTACTCCTCAACTTTAGATTGTATCCTACACCAAATTGATTGATGATTGATTGATTGACTAATCGAATTATCGAAGTACATAATTAACAGCAGATTCACATCTACGAATAGTCTACACTGTAAAGGACCAGTGGCGTATCAACAGGGTCCCAAAAAAGTCGCCGCAGTCACCCCTCCCCCTATTGAACATCATGAAAATCACACTCAAGTAGTTAAAAATCACCTCATATCACCTTATTTTGCGACCTAGCACCTCCCACTTAATGATCGTACTCCTACTCCACCTTCGCCCCTCCCCCATCAGCTTCCATATTTCAAGACTCCTAGATACGCACACTGTAAAGGACATCTAATGGTAATTTGGAAAATATGGATGCCATGTCATTGTTAATTAGAATGGTAAAATATTGTTGTCACTAATTATAAGACTTAAAAACATGGGGAAAAGGGGCGTAACTGCCCTTTTCACACCCCCCCCCCGGTTTTTGAATATTAAAAAATCTCTATCTCATTCACCGTTCTGTCTTAGAAAAATCAGTTCTACAACATATCAATAATTTTTGTTCTCCAGAGTCTGACTTTAAGGACTTTTACAGTATATGCTTTCAAGGTTTCGATGTTGTTTTTTTTTTCTGTAAATGCCATGTGAGTTACCAGTATGTCTTTTTTTAAATTTTTGCTAGGAAATTTTACGGACGATGCCTTGGTGGTGCAGCTTGAAAGTCTAAACTGCCCTGGACAGTGCTCCGGTTATGGTAACTGCACCAACGGCATGTGTTCCTGCAATGATGGTGAGTGCAATGAATTCTAGCACATCTTTCTATGCGATGGGTTGATAATGGTGGAATGTTCTTCCATGGGTTGATGAAGGCACTTATGGCAGGCAGACACACAACGTTGGAAGATGGGGGCACTGATTGCATTCATAAGGAGTTTCTTTATTGTTATTGCCATCATAATTGGCATAAGAATTATTATTGATATTGTTATCATCCCCAATAACATTTCTTTTATTTATTCTTTGCAGGTTTTGAAGGAGATGATTGCAGTGTCAATTCAATGGTTTCTCCAGAACTATTTAGCCTTAATGATGAAAAAACCTTACGGTGTGATGTTAGAAATGATGCTTGTGAAAATATCTCAGCTATTGGTGGCCCTTTTACTGATAATGGCAACCTCAAGTGTCAATATGCTGAAGATGGTGTAAGTTATGTGTATTATTTTCTAAAGTATAACGCAACACAACACTTTATGATAATGAAACCCAGTAGCCTCATGAAAAGCTGGTCGTTTCAGATGATGATGATGATGAGGTACAACTTATTTTTCTAAGACAAACAACCAGGAATGGTTAATGAGATACAGAGTTTTAAATATATAAAAACTGGTGTAATAAGGCGTAACTACATTTTTTAACCTCACACCCCCCAACCAGTGTTTAAATATTCAAAAATCAGTGTCTCATTAACTATTCATGAGTTTTCGCAACCCTTTATTGTCTTAGAAAAATCTGTTGTACAACATATACAAAGAAAACTTTTCTTCGGAGCCTGGCTTTAATATTGTATGTTGTATTTATAGGACTCTACAAGTATTTCTGTCTCAGCATCTTTCGAGAACTTTCTTGAAATAAAATGCCAGTTTGGCGAGCTTGTTTCTACAAATTATGATAAACAAAAAGTAAATTCTAAAGCATCGATGTGGTTAAATGTGCGAGTGAGTACCGGAGAAGGTGATACGAGAAAAAGCACCGGACCAGGACTCACATTTATTGTCTATGACCCATCATTGGCATAGTCCTAGGCTGTCTCTTATACACATCTTAGAAAACACATTACAAGAAAGTATAAAGACATTAAAGCACATCAAATGTCCACATACGTAAACACACTGTTCAAATGTCAGATAGGCCTATTATATAAAAATAATTATAGAAATATATACTAAAATAACAGCACTAAGTATTCAAGTTTCTCATCCAGTTCATATACATTTTAGACTCACACATGCAAGATTTCACAAAGAAAGATGGAAAATTTCTTGTTACAAACATCTGACTTGCACTACAGTGTTTCGGAAGCCCCAGACATTTTCTGAAAGCATTATTCTAACACATCTGCAACTGCTTGATATTAACCTGAGTAAGCTTACCCCATAGGCGGCTGCAATACATACGGTAGTGCTGCAATAGGATTTAAACAGATTACACTTTACCTCGTCAGAGCATTTGTTAAATTTGCGCCACAACATGTTAGCACGTATGCAAGTAGATCTGTATTGACGTCTAATATCATGGGCATCATTAAGATCACGAATCAGAATATGACCAAGGTACTTAGTTTAAGCAACAAAATCTAACTCTTCACCATAAAGAATAATTTTATACTCTTCACCACTTATCCTTTTATGTGAGAACAACATACATAATGAATTTTTAGGATTGAATAAGATATGTTTAATACCATATGCTTTACAAATACTGACGAGCTGTTAGAACACGATTTAAAGAAGGCGCTAAAAGTGCCATGTCATCTGCATAGCTTAGTTGTTGATTCACACACCAGCATTGGTACAGCCAATTATTAAGCTCATTGTTAAGATCATCAATATACAGATTGTACAACCATGGTACACCAAAGGCGACATTATGTCACTTTGCCTCACACCATTGGTAAATGAGAACCATTTGGATAAGCAATTGCCCCACCTAATACTAAATTTGTGTAAACCATACCATGATGCAAGCATCTTAACATTAGTTAAATGATGTTTCTCTCAATAAGCTCCTGAAGAGTGTCCAGTGATCCACTCTGCCGAATGCTTTAGAAGCATAAATAAAGTAAGACTGGACTAGAATTACGATTGTAAAACTCAACAACTTGCTTCAGTACAAAAATGTATGTGTCAGTAGAATGGCAGGTTTTAAAGAGGACTGGTTATCCTCAGACCTTAAATCATATGTACCCGACAATTTAATCAACACACTTTCAAAAACCTTGCAAGGGCAATGCCTATAGTTACTTTTTGAAGAAATGTCCCCAGATTTACTCTTCCTCTTTGAAATATCGACTAAATCACCTAACATTCTGCTCACACTGAACGCCTTTTCCTAAATCCCACCCTATTATATTCATAATTATTCATTAATTAATCAGTAGGCCTAATCGCCTTTATACAGCGAGATGTCCCCTCGTATCAATCAATAAACTCAGTAATTCATTCAGTGATTCACTTTTGTTCTTGTTTTATATTTTATGTGTTTTTAATAGATTTTTATTAATTATTCAAATGGATATTTCACATGAATCTACCTAATTGATCTGATACTACAAGTCATGACTTCTGACTTCACCAAACCTGATTAGGGGATTATTTCTGATCAAATGATTGATGACTGGTGCTGGCACCAGTATAGAAGTGTATCAGCATTTTTGTATGTCAACAAAACTGATCATCTTAGGTAGAATCGGTTGGATTTTTATGGTGTTTAATTGTTTTTGTGAATTGTTTTTATAAAAGTGTAAATAGCACATAATTTGATCATTGACCACGATGTAATCTGATGATGATAAAGTGATATAAAAGGAGTGACGTTTTAATAAATTAAATACTTAATTACTATAACTGTACAATAACCAACCACATTTTTTCAGCTCATTTGATTCAAGGTCCTAATGGACTAAGCACCGGCGCCATCATTGGCATAGTCCTAGGAGTAGTCTTCCTAGCGGTTGTCGTCATATGTATCGTCGTGGTCGTCATCAAAGGCAAGTCAAGGAAAGTGGGAGCATCAGACAACGATTTACAGCAGCAGCCGTAGACAAGTTACTCTACTCATTAAACCTCTTCAAAGAGTTTCTACAAATTGGAAAACTCATTTAGGAGATATTATAACTTACACGCAACAAAGAAATGTTTTAAAATGATTTGAGGAATATTCGATTTGGGTTCATTGTTTTCATATAACGTATTTTATTCAAGTACTGCGATTGTCACCGAGTAGGTAAAAATTGAATACCTAACACAACGAAACGTTGCACAGTGCACAAACTTTGTATTTGAAATTAAGCAAGTATAGAATATCATTTGGTAAGAAAGTCTAAATAAGAAACTAATATTGATACTATAGGTCTACACACAATTAAATTGAAATAAACGAATGGGAGATGCAGGTGAATTTAGTTGGTGGTATTCCTACTACTGTGGCTTAAACTACTTATACAAATATGACGGTTGCTAAAGTCAAAAGCATTCTGATGTAATATACCGGTATAAGCACGCATGTGGGTGTGATTTTAAGTAAAAAAATGTGTTGCACTGTCATTTCTATATTATAAGAAATGTAATTATCACAGTAATTATATTTGATTTTACTAGAACTTCCATAAAATAATGTTTATGGTATATGAGTTTAATGAATAGTTATGAATTACGGTTTCTGTACTTATTCACTCCGACTGTGTGAAGGTCCTACTTGCATCCCGACCCGTGACCATTCTTAAACGTTTAGAGTATCATCCTGTTGAGGAGCTCAATCATCGGTACTCCCAGATCCCAGAAAATTCTTTTAATATTTTTCTCCATAGACTCTTAATGACAACATTGCATTCCTCAATGGCGACATACCTAGGCTTTCTTAAAAAATCTGATGTAAATATCATAGTGATAGAATTGCTGTGTTGCTTCAATCAATGTTTTTAAATAGGTTAAAATAGTTATATACATATCTAACTGCCGTGTAAAAGTACTAATCAAAAAATCCCATTGAACACTCACAAATGGAATTCACTTCTTCAAAATGTACACATTTGGTCGTTTATATTCAGTAAACAATATACGATGAATTTTAGGGTAAAAATCGACACGGCTTCACGATATAACAAGATGTAGGTTTTTTTTATAGATCGCATCAAAATTATACGTGATACTAATTAATGATGTATATAATATTACATATTCGATCCATATGCAAACATTTCTGACAACCACCTAATACTGTATGTGAAAAATTAAGCTTTTACAAGTTTGTAGTTCGTTGTATATATTGTTTATTTTGTGGGCACATATACAGATGAGTAAAGCTTAAATGAAAATAGGATGTTTAACTACTCTCAACCGAACGCCGGCCGGCTTGAAGAAGTCTTTCTAATGCTGTCCAGCCATCGATTTTCTTGCTCCTCCTACTCGTCTTTCTCCTTGTGGTTTTTCAGTCTTGTATCCTTCTTGGATCTCTTGTTGGCGTTGGTTTTACATGGACATACCATCTTAATTTATGTTTAAATATGAACACATGGAATCATGATTTATTTGCTAATGCTTTCTTTTCAGCTCTGATGAGGAGCTCTATAAACACTCTGCTGATTAATTAATAGATCTTATTTTAACTCTACTGCCTCTATCATACAGTCCTCATGAAGCTAATTAATAGAACTTTTTTAGCTCTAATAAGAGTACGTTTTGTATAAATATTTAATATAAAAATAACGCTAAAAAGAAAAGATCGACGTTTCGACTCCTTCATTGTGTCAATTTCAAGATCAAATGATGAAGTATAGAATATACAGCAACTATAATCAATAGAAAAAAGCTAATCTACAATGTCAAAGTTCATAAAAGTGGGATATTAATCCCTGTGTTAGATAAAAAGCTTCTGCTTTGACAGAGTCACATTGTTTATTCAGACTGGGTTTTAATTGTCTAATAAATAGCATTTCATGAATGAGACAGTCAAATTTGTTCTTACATTTCTTTAAAATACTGAAACATGACTCAATACTGCTTGGGCTGATATGATGGTCCTTAGCATGCTGTCCTAACAGAAATCTTTTATGTTCAGCAATACGTTGGTAGAGGTGTCGGTTTGTGTATCCGACATAAGTCACATTTAAATCTGTACACAACACACTGCTGATTTATGGTTGTAGGTTTTCTTTCTGTTTTCTTAATTTCATCACTTATTTTTCTGCTGCTTGTGAAAACAGGAAAATGTTTTGGTCTATTTTGTTCCTTAGTTGAGTTGGCAGATTTCTGGTCTTTGAAGGGTGGGGTAATTCGGATGGGCAAATATTTCCTTCTCGTCGGCTTCAGTATTACTGAATTTATTTATCAGTCTCTAGAGTTGACTTAAACATTTGAATTGTGGATATGATGAGGTCATCCGTGTATTCAAGGCGTTTTTTTAGATCTACTGGCTCTATTATACTGTCCTGAGTCATAAGGAGCTCTAGAAACACTCGGCTGATTGATTAATAGATCAGTTTTAGTTTTAGTTTTAGTTTTTCTACTGCCTCTATTATACTGCCCTCATCGGAGCTTTCGAGATTACGAAATCTTGTTTTTTTTCCTGTACTTAAGAAGTTGTTTTCCTGTTATTTGAACTTTGAGGATTGTTTTGTATCTCAATCGAGATCAAAGGATTTTAGTAGTTTATTGTTTGCATAATAATATAGTATACAAAATTATGAGTGATATGTGTGTGACTAAACCCTGTATTTCGAAAGTATCTTTATATGTTTATCACTACATATATTTATATAAATATAAATATATTTATATAAATATAAATATATATTAGTATTAAACTGTTATCCTATGTACATACTACTTTCCGAATAAAACAATTATTAAAGAATTATATAGTATTGTATTATATATTATGTAAAGAAAAAACTCTAAAATACTTTTCGCTGCAATGCTTTATATATATATATATATATATATTTATTTATTTATACTTATAGATAAACATAGAGGTTCGTATGTACCCTATTCAGACTACACTCTGTTGCGATCGGTTACGATGTAATCGGTGGTAATCCAAAACTGATTACTCCCGATCGCAATCAACGAACGCATTCAGACCAACACAAACACATTTTACATTCTAGGGCCATAGGCCTCCGGTGGCTAGGCCTATGTTGACTGACCTCAGCCAAACAGTGCCCGTGGAATTCGTTGTGATCGGATTCCGTGGTAATCGGGAGTAATAAAGTTTGTAGCACCTAATCGCAACGGGTAACAATTGCAAAATCGATTACGATTACTTATCGACTACTATTGGTGAGCATTCAGACACGATTTTACTTTGCGATTGGGTGCGATTGGGTGTCGCAATTGCTACAACCGATAGCAATGCGAAGCTAGTCTGAATGGGGTATTAGTATGATGAAAAGAGATTCTTTAAAAGTGATAAAAACATAAACTATCAGATTATTTTCAAAAGTATATATTTAGTATTTGAATGAACCGTCCATTGTAAACACATTTCATGTTTACATAGTTCCGTCCAATTAAAAAAGATAATTGATGTGTAAGACGATGTATAGTTCTCAATCATTGCTGATGTTTTGTGTTCATCTTAATGACGCCAGCAGATGTATACCATAACCCAGTATAGTCTCAAATTTGTTGAATCCCCAAAAATCCCCACACCACACTTTCGCAGAATTGGTCCCGCGGCGTATTTGGTGTGTTAACACGAGGTTGTGGGGAAGGGGGAGGCACCATATTAAAATAAAATGAAGGGGAGCCAGAAACTGAGGTAACTATTCAGTATTGAGCATTTTCTTACTATTATAAATTAAGTACAGTATACACTGAGCAGCCGGAGGGGGAGGGGAAAAACGTTTTCTTCAGGTATCACAATTTATTGTTGTAACATAATAGGCCTACCGTGAATAAAGTTATAATACTCGAACTAATAACAATAACAGCAACATGTTCTCACTATTTTCTACTTTCCATCTAAAAGGGAGATGCAAAGACCTAACTTGTGCACAGTCATCAATCAACGTCATATAGATTCTCTTCGTGTATGATGGTCAATAAGCAGTTGCGCGTGAATCTTGACCATGGGAAACAGAGTACTTCATCTGTACAATTAGAATAAAAACTGGATGGCTCCTGTACGCCTTGTCAAGACGTCATTAAGTGCTGGTGAGGTCGAATGAATTGATTCAATATTGAAATAATTAGGTTCATCTAGAGACCGCATACTATTCTGTCCATTAAAACCTATTAACGCACCTATATAAACAGAATGCATGTTCTACTAAGAAAATTAAACTGAAATAGGCCTAGTTAAAAATAATAACACCTCATTCGCATGTTTAATAAATGGACACGATGTAAATAATGGCAAAGACGATTGTGACGATAATACCTTACACTATGTAAGAAAGGAAAAGATGAACAACAAATGAAAAATTTGTTAACATTTATTAAAGCCCTACAATAAATGATCATGTAGTAGTGACCCCTAACACATGACCTCACATATGTTCCTTATTCATTTCAATACTTCCTAAAACATTTCTTCTTATCTTAACCTCAAAGCATATCCCCATCTCAAAGTATTTTTGGGAAATGTACTGTCAAAGCCTGTGAAACAGTTTGAATTAGGGGCTCTACTGTGAGGGTATGTGTGTTGAAGGAAGAAGTTGTGGGTGTGTAAATTTTTCACGCCCAGTAAAAATATACTTAGCAAAAGTAAACCAATGATTCTGCAAGGTGAGGAGGGGACAGCATCACAAGGCAGGGTAACATATCGAAGTCTGAAGCCCTATCAATTAGCTACAAAACAATTTCATTACTTTCTTTACATCATACTTTTATTATCATTATTTTTGTTCTAATGTTATGGGGGTAGAAGATGGCATGGCATAATAAAATCTTCTCTTCCGAACTGGATAAACCAATGAACAACCTCATCAGTCTAATCAATCAATTGACCAATGAAAATTCAGATTCTTCACAGGATTCCTCGTTTGCTGAATCTCAAAAGAGGAGGGCAGCACAGCTGCACACACTTGTATGCAGCCGGCTGAATACTACATATAGAATTATTAATTTGTTATCAGAACTTCAAATAACATTGCATGCTTTGAAGTAAATTACATTGTAGCTAGTACTAATCTCTACATATATATCATAAATAATTCTAAAATTCTACAAGAAAAAAATTATCATAAATATTGGTTTACACTGATTAACAATTCTACCATGTGTTAACATCTATACGTTTCCCATCTCCTTAATAACAAATTCTAGTAAACAAAATATTAGTATATTGCACCAAGTGAGGAAAGCTCTTCAAACTAAAAACCTGAAGAAAGAAGAGAACCAAAATCGAGTACCAAAATGGTGGTTAAAGATGAAAACATTTATATACTCTCTTATTTAAAAAACGGATTTCGTTTCCTCTGGAATGCAGCTTGGGAAATATGTAAAAAAAGGAAAATATTTGAAATATTGTTTATAGTAACTTAGCACTCTGCTCACATTGTGTGAAATTTACAGAAAAAAAATGTGATGGCTGACGATTCAGATCTTGCATAGCAACAATAAAATTGAAACTTTTAGACAGTGCTAAACATTGTCTGAGCATCTGCAGTGATGGCAAACTTCAATAATTAAAAGATGAAATTTATCATTCATATACCACAATATCAAAATAAATACTAACAAAAAACAAGTATATTCACTGACAATAATAGGGTTGTATTTTGTTTACGATGATGATTAACAATTCCCATAATAAACAGAATTACAACCAATTGAAAGTCTCCCTCCCTGCCCATCCCTCCTTTAATGTTTGAATAATTTACATTTTCTCAATTATTTTAGGAGTATAAATTAACATACAAAAGGAGAATGTACCAATTTAGCAAGGGTAGGTTACTTGTTACTTTCTCATACAGATGGAATTGTTCATCATGGAGCCCATTCCAAGAGAAATTAGGAAAGGTTTGAACCCAAATAACATAAATTGTATTGAAATTAATCATCAAAATGCAAGTGAGAAATGGTGGGTTAGGTTCTGACATAAATTGGATTTTTTCGTCATGGAGCCCCTTCCAAGATAAATTTAGAAAGGTTTGGGCGAAAATTGTATTGAAATTTATCATCAAAATGCAAGTTAGACCTAGTCCTGTGCTAAATAAACATTATTTAGGCTGATCTTCTCTAATTTTATACCTCCATGGCATGAAGTATAAGCTCAACTTTTGGCTTAGGTCAACTTTTGTAGTCTAGCTTAGGCCTGCAGGAGCAGATTCAAAGGGGGTGGGGCAGCTGGCCCAGGCAACCCTAAATTTTTGTCCAAATTGGAGAGAAAAAGAAAATTACATTCAAATTTAAAGTCTGAGAGTGCCATTTCTGGCCATCTAGAGGTGACATAATCGTAAATTTTACAACCAGCCAAAACCATGGTTGTATATAGACCCTCCATCTGTCAAAGCCCCTCTCTGGTCAACTCTATTTCAAATTCCTGGATCTTCCACTGGTTTGCACTTTCTGGATTTGTGGTAAAATCCACCCAAAGCCCACCAACAACAAACCCTAAAGATTTGGGCTTATTACCCAAGAAACTACAATATAAATTAACAACATAACAAAACAAAAACCAGACTTAAAATTTAACACCTTTCCTTTCTCTTGTATTCTTTTTTAATCAACTATAATGGAAATGTCTGTGTTTAGGATCTCTTAATTATGATCAGTAATTAAGTTGTATAATTAAGATAACAAATGAAAGAAGTTAAAATTAAAAAATGTAAATGTTAAGTGTCTGTCCTAGAATTTAATGTGGTACTGTAGGGTCAGAATTCTTCAGGCTTGTCAGCTATGTTGCACTTGTCCAAATTCTATCCTACTCTTGTAATTTATTGTTAGATAGTATACCTATATAATATCCTGCTATTTCTTATTTTGAAATTCATTACTTTGAAACTAACAGCAAACTAAAAATATCTATCAATTTAATCTATATACACAAAATATTCTGTACAATATGATATTTTTCATCATATATATAATTATAATTGTAATAACAGTAATTATTATTAGTACAGTATAATTATTAGTTACGTAGTAAATATACTCATCAGCACTCATTGTTTAACGTTTTTATATTTCTAGAAAATTATGAAAAAAAGGGGAAAAACTGTGTCAAACTATTTAGTTGTATGGCAGTGCTTACAAACTGAGGACCAAAATGAATTGTTTAAACACTAAACAAAATTTGAGACCAAAAATATACAAATGCCTACTCATAAAATTATCAAAATAGAGGGCGCTATAATTATAGAAAATCATTTCCTTATTCAAAGGGCAGTTGGGCCTACATGTACAGGCATATGTACTTCCACATCCATGTCGTTTGTACACATGGGGCTCAACCTGCTGTTTGGGCTTGATGTCCTGTCTGTTACTTCTCCTGTTGAATCACCGCTAATTTGGCCATCTACTAAAGATTCCTGCGATGGACCTGTCTTCATAGTGTCTTTCTGTCTTTTTGTTTCCTCCTTACATTCTTCTTTGACACGTAAGAGTAGCCGACGAATTTCCTTATTATTTGGAGCAAGTTTTAAAGCATCTAATAGATCTTGCAAAGCAGAACCAAATTGCCTTCAAATGGGAAGAAAATGAAAAAAAAACTATTTAAAAGACGTAAACCATTTATTAAAACTGTAATACAAAATGCTAGAGGAAATCCTTTCCACCAAAAGTAATTCATCTGTTTAATGATATTTCTTAATTAATTTTAACAACAACAATGATAACAATTCTCTCATCTTTTTAAGTTTGTAAGAAAATATATACATATACATATATACATTTTTCTGTAAATAAGTATAAACCATGAAACAATATAATTGTACATACTTGAGTGCTCTCTTTGCACGTGCTCTTGCATATAAGGCCTCATAACACTTCGGTTTAATGTCCAGTGCTTTAGTAGCAAACTCTAAAGCAACACTGTTCTCCTGAAATATAAACATCAGCCAATCATTAAAAAGCTATCAAGCGTAAAAATTTAGTCTAGTTTCAAATATTTGAAATTGGGGGACCTTAGGCAGCCACAGTGCAGTACCAGTACTGAAATATAACGGATACATTGTCCCTTATCCCGCCTAACTCTCACGCAAGGGTTAACAAGTACTGTAGTTCAGCCTTGTGTCCTTTCCCAGCTGGATTATGGTCATTTTCAACTGGGTGGCATATCTGTGTCTTAGGTCTGGTATAGGCATTATTATTTCCAAGGATTATAGGAGCACTGGAAGGAAAAATGGAGATGACGAGGAAGACTAAAAACAACATAGAGATGAAGGAAAATAAGACAAGCAAGGCAGGACAGATATCATGGGGAACAGCTAGAGCTGTGGCAGCTAACAGGGAGTTACAAATAGAGGCATTCTGTGGAGGCCTTCAGTAGCACATGAATCACATTGGAAAAAAATAATTATATAATAAAGCACCCAATTATTATACCATACCTCTAACTTGCGTTTGCACCTTGACACATTTAGACAGAAGTTGACACGCAATTCTTTGAAATTCTTTATATCATCCCCAAAACTATCCGTTGGAAATTTCTTTAATGCATACAGGTACCGGTGGCAGGCATCTCTCCATTTCGATTTCTGTAAATTTTAGGGAAAAAAATTCTCATCAAAACAAAAAAAAAAATAAAACAATTGTCTCTCTTTATATATTTTTAAAAATGTATCACATATGTCATTAGAAAAAAATTGAAAATAATTATACCTTATATAAAGTGTTACCATCTTCCATTAGCTTTTTCAAAAGTATCAGCATAATGTCTGGTTTGGAAGTTGCCATCGCCCATGATGCTGGACCTAAATAAAATAAAACAATTATCTGGCTATTAATAATAAGAAATCTATTTTTACATAGCGCAGAATGCTATAAATCTCTATGCGATTTACATTAGAAGCAAAAACTGGAACAGAATTAAAAGAAAAGATGATTAAAACAGTGAGCGAAAATCTTCTGCAATCAAAACAAAAAAAAAGTTAATTTTAAGATTAATTTTTATTTATTTATTTCATTTTTTTTAATAATATTAATTTTTAACTATTTACGTATCAACCAAATCATTCCATTTCTTATCTATTAGGATGAAATAAGGTGATCTGACCTTAACCACTATAGTATTTTATCATAACTTTACTTATTAAAGAAACACATCTGAACTGAACTATAGGAAACCCCCCTTCGTATGAACCTGGTTACGGGCCTGAATTATAATAACTATAAACAACTATTATTATAATAACATTTCAAATGTTACACAATGAGCATTAAAATATACTGGTTTTTTTTTAAACATTAAGTCTCTGAGAATTCCTCAGTAAATACCTAAATGCAATACTAGGTTAATGGAATAAACAAGATGGAAGTCTTTCATTGCATATGTACTCTAATGTAACAGCACCCCCTTCAGCTTCTACTTACCAAGTTTAGCACCTTTCTTTAGCAGCACCTGTACAACACTAGCATTCTTACATCCGATGGCTCTGTCCAAGGGTCGCATGCCACTATAGTCTACATGCTCTATCTGACCTCCACTCTCTAGTAGTAATTGTACCTGAAGAGTAAAAGGTACAAAAACAATAAGATAAAATATGTAACAATTGGACTAAAGAAGGTTCATCCTGCCTGTGCCCTCAAGTGGGGGTTGGGTTGTCTCGACACCGCTTTCCATTCTCCCCTGTCACCAACTCTGCTCAGATCAACCACTCTACCGCCATCTTGGACACAATCTATCCAGCGCTTTCTAGATTGTCATCTCTTCCTTTCTACATACTGCAATTTCATATTATACCTATCAATTGAATATCTGTTTCTTTTTTATTTACTGTTCTTATTTATACTGCAAAACAAGCGTCCAGTATAAAGGTACTGTTCACCGATGACTAGGCCAATATTGAGTCTTAAAGAGTCATGAGAAATAAAATATCTTGGTCATGAAAGAATTTTAGCCAAGCACCCTGAGAAGGCGACAAGCATCTTCCATTAAGGTACAACCCACTTCATTAATATCATTATGTTCTATATTGCCAGTAAAAAAAAAAAAATTTTTTTCCAGACATTAAAGTTCCTTGAATCTTGATATTCACTATTAACAGGGCAAATCAGAGAGTGTTGGGTAGTAGAATGATGAAATTGAAATCTGACATAATTATTATGTAAATCACACCCTCTAAATTACAATGGTATAGTCCACTTAATTACTGGCTATAACACTGAATGAATCACATCCCTATTGTACAATGGTATAGTCCACTAATTTGTATACTTATCATAATGAGCAATGACTAATTCCGAATTTATTGAAACAAGGCTTACCACTTGGGCATCTCCAAAGAATGCAGCCAGATCAAGAGGGGTCCTCCCGCTTCGATCCATATGATTCACATTAGATTCCCGCTCTAGCAACGACCTGACAACATGGATATGACCCTTCAAACACCCCCAGCAGAGTGCTGTTAGACCCTCCTTATCAACCGAGGCTACTGAAGCACCTGTTAAGTAGAAAATAAATAGGAAACTTGCATAACATGTTATGTAAGTACATTTCTTTACCCAAGTCCTTGTCCACACTATCAAATAAATTTAACATGAGAAAAAATGCGATATGCCCATATATAGGCGCAACATGACATCATCATGCCCATACATGGGCACATCACATTAATTTGTCACATAACTTTAAAAATGTGGCAAAATCTTTCTGATAACTATAATTATCTATGAGAATAAAGATGTCAATGGTAATGATAGTAAAAGTAAATCCTTGCCAAGCTTACAGGGCTCATAGGGTTGGAGCTTATCTCCAGTTTCTGTAGCATGAAGCAGATGAGAGTGTAATACTCCCTGTGGGTGGGACCCTAGTTCACCGCAGGTTACTCCCAGCAATTTTCTGGTACTTACTGATACAGCTGGGTAGACTGAAGCAACGTAGATAAAGTGCCTTGCTCAAGGACACAAGCGAAATGCACAGTGAGGGATTGGAAACCTGACCTCAAGGTTAGGAAACCAAATCATTCCCGCTGCGCCAAACCGCTTCCTAATGGTGACGATAACTACGACAGTAATGATGCAGTTGCATAACACAAAATGTTACAACATACAAATATTTCATAGGATCTATTTCATACAGTAGGATCAATACAAAATCATGCGACTTGTTTCTTTGATAAATAAGTAGAATAAATTATAAAATACAGTAAAAGTAATAGAAAGTAAATATATAGAAATGCTGGTGTTAATGTATCTATATTTTTAGCCTTGCATCATTTTTTTTCAAATATTCTTATATAACGCAAAAAAATAACAAATGGGGATTTCCAATGAATTGCATAGTTTACAAAAGGATTTTACACACAGAGATAAAAATAAAAATGTTGATTAGTCAATTTTATACAGCCTAGTCCTTTAAATATGGTGGCCAATGATATGTCATCAAAATAAGTGTTAAAGAATGGTTTTATAAAGAGATTTAAAATGAAGAAGAGCTGTACAATTAAAGCCGAGAATGGTAGAGCCTAGCATAGCCTTGTCTTATATAATATCAAACCTGTTGCTGTCACTGTACATCCTGTAAATGATGGTTCCTACTTGACCTAGTACAGTTAATGATAAAAAAAGAATATTATGTATTCTGAAGTTACCTTTACTCAGTAAAATTTCAAGAACCGCAACGTGCCCTTCTCCCGCAGCTATCATAAGTGGTGTGCGACCATGCTTGTCCATCTCCTCCAATCCCGCATGATTGAACAACAGAATATCCACCACTTCCCAGTGGCCCTTGCGAACAGCGCAGATCAACGGGGACATCAGGCCTTGGTTGCGTGTTCTGACATTGGCTCCACGCTTCAGGAGGAATTTACATACTTCCACACGTCCATTTGTGCAGGCTGCGGTGAGAGGGGTCTCACCTAGTAATGTGTCCGTTTGGTTGACGTTTACGAAACAGTGACCGTATGATACATCATTCAAATCCAACAAAAACTGACAAACCTTTAGGGGAAAAAAATAAATTTTAGAATGCATTAGAATGTTTTGGATACCATACATCACTTTTAATCATGCTTTACTTCCATCTTACCTTATGCCTACTTAGCTTAGTGATTATTATTACTTACATCTTTATGCCCCATAGCAGATGCAGCAACTGCAGCTTGCTGGCTTACAACCTTCTTATTAAGTTGAGGAGACTCTCTTGAGGACCAGTCATATTGCAGTAAGAAGCTTACTACATCAAGATGTCCTCTCTCAGCTGCATGAACCACGGCACACTTACGATTCCTATCAATGTGTGTTACCTAAGAAATAAACAAGTAAATCATTTATCAATACAACCATCAACAATCCCATCATCATCATCATCACCTTCATAAACCCCTCCTTAAACATCATCATCATTACCCTCATAACCTCCTTCTTCAGCATTATCATCATTACTATCATAATTACCCTCTTCACTATCATTATCAAAACATTCGTTCTTGTAATTTAATGTAGCTTAAGATCATACCCTGAACCTTAGGGAAGAACAGTGTACTTATACTGACTGAGTATCCAAAATAAAGAAAGATTTCTATTCTATTCTATAGCATTAATATTATCAGCATATCATTATTAGCCAAATTATCATCATTGTTATCATAATCATTATCATTTACATGACTACCATTGTTTTATCATTAATGCCAGTGTCATTGGTTTATACAAAAATTACCCTGAACTCACCCGTGCTCTCTTGATCATCAGCATGCGAATAATTTCGAGATGACCGTAAGCTGCTGCGTAACACAGTGCTGTCATACCATCATCTGACTCAGAATTCACACTTGCATCAAACTCCAACAAGAGAGACACCATCTCAGTGTGACCTTCCTTGGCAGATATGCACAGTATGGGGGCGCTGTGTAAGACATCTGTTTTCTGGTTGGGATTAGCGCCTGCCAACAGAAGCAGACGACTGACCTAACATTGTTTAAGAAAAATTAGAGTAATAAGTTCTGTGCAGAAAAAAATATATTTTGGATGTATCACATTTTCTGTGAACAAACGTCCATTATTTAACAAATCTGGTCCCCCCCCCACCCCGCATGAATCGTTGGACAGTGGCTAATAAACATAATATGGTAAATAGTTTTGAAGAAGAAATATTGCTGCCATTAGTGATAAATGATTAATGAAAACTAATTGTTTATGCAACAAGAAAAAACATCTCCATGGTCTGAATGGTAAGCAGTGGTGTATCTAGGGGTGAGGGGAAGGGGAACACGCCCCTCCAAAAATTACTTGTGCCCCCCACCCCCCGTTATCCTAAAAAATCACGGTCAAGTAGCTAAAAATCACCTTATTTTGCAAATTAATGCTCCTTAACTGATCATCGAGCACCCCCACTTCTCCTTCGCGCCCACCCATCAGCACCCCTATTTCAAGACTTTCAGATACGCCACTGATGGTAAGCAAAGTAACCAGTCAGCACCACAAACCATTAACCACAAACCATTTTAGGAAGGAACTACCAGACATGCTAGAACTCTTTGTAATTTGGATACCCTCTTTGAGAGGAGAGCAGCTCACTGCCTCAAATTTGCTAAAGGCCTTTCCCTTTCTAACCATTCTGCTGATCGGATCCCCTACCCGACAACTATCTCATGGTAGAAGTCTACACAATGGAAGTAATTATTCACAGCTTAAATGCAAAACCAGAAGATTTTCTAATAGTCCATACATTAAATTACTCAATATCTCATAATCCCCTCCCCCTCCCCCAATTACTCTCCCCAGCATTTGAGGCACTGTCTGCTCCCCTCTTTTAGAACAATGAAGTTGCTCCACTTGCACGTTTTTATTCTGTATTTCAAACATTTGAATTTTTTCCCCCCCCCTTTTTTGTGGATTTTTTATGTGATCTTTTGTAGTTCGTAAAAGTTGTCATCAATTTGGCTTTTGGCCACGAACTGTAACTTGTTTTTTTAATGTGAATGTGAAATACATGAAGTGAAATATAAAAATCACTGCAACCATTAAACACCAAATACGTTAACCACCACAACCATGAAACCACAATGGCCTATTTAAGTTATTCTCTGTAATCCTTCTTGAGGGAAAGCATACTTTTTTGGATTGTGTTACTGTTTAGTATATTTTTAGACATAATAAATACCGTACTAATAGTACAAAAATACTAACCTTCACATTAGGGAAGAATATATTGCGTCTATGAGCCAAGCTCTTGGATAGGTTATCAGCATTCATGTGCATCCAGATTGCCTGTAACTCCCTTGATGAGTAGCCCAACTGCCTGCCTAGCGTCTTGTAGATGTGAGCTTTGAGAATGTGGTGGCCTAGCTCAAAAGCTTGCTCTGCGTTCAGACGACTTGACTGCCGGGTCATCTTGAACCCTATTAAAGCATGACCGTACCTGAAAAGATATGCAAATGCTAATGTTGTACCATTTTGAAATATATGGAAGAGATTCACATATTATAGACAGATATATAGGCAGTTAAACAACCACAGATAATTACAGATAATAATAAAGGGAAAGGCAAAGGAAACTATGAAATCAAGGAATTGCTACAATAAGCAGAATACCGATGATGATGAATACTGTAACAATAACAATAATAATGATGATGATAATCACAATAACAATAATTCAACAATAACAAAATTACGACAATAAAAACAAAAAACAATAATAGAAATAATAATAATTGATAAATAAAATGTTTATACACATAGAACACACACACACACAAAAACCAGACACATCTCTATATCTACAGACTGCGTAAGATATACCTGTGTTCACATTGGAATTTTGGACTCTCTCCATCATCCCTCCGGTTTAACCATTCCCTAAATGATGGATGAAACAGCATCCTGGTATTATCCCGTCTCTTCAGAAGGAAGTCTGCAATTGAAGCCATCCGCCTTTGGAATTCATCCCACGGTAGAAACTTCTTGACATACCCTGCATTGACAATTTCATAGATCTGCGTATCCGTTAATGGAAACAATGCGGCTAGGCTCACGTTGAAAACCGAGCTCACTTTTTCAAATGCTTTTGAATTTGAGAAGCAACTATTGCACATCTGTAGATAGACTTCAGAAATATTTACTGGCAACTCATTGAAATGGGGTGAGACTACTCGGAGGTCACCCTTACTGATTAGGTCAAGGGTCAACTTGGTGTACAGGAATGAGCCCCTGCTATTGGTCTGCAATTGCGCCTGGAACTTGAGGTATGATTCCTCGTCTAATTGTCCATTTATAGACACCACTGAGCGAATGGTGTCGCTGTTGTATATGCGATGCATTACGTACTGTTCAATGTCTTTCACTATAAGCTCTGAGCGGGGATTATTGCCTTTGTCTAGACTCATTTTATGGAATGGTAGTAATTTTGTGATATCTTGTAATTGAGTTCTTACAGTTATTACAAGTTTTAACCATGAAGGAAACTTCATTATGTTTTTAGTTAAGAAAGAAGCTATTGTATCTCCGTAATCGGATTTGTGAAACTCCGCCTCACTTAATCCATCCACAAGGATTAAGCACGAGTCCATCCCGATCCGTCCCTGAAGTTTTAAATTGTTCAACGGATCTAAAATGCCTCGAGTTAGAACTTCTGAAGGGTTCTGTGAGCACTCTCTGACAGATAGCAATGTCTGTAAATGTGGCTCTGCTAGGAGCTGGTCTCTGTAGCATGGAAGACTCTGTGCTAACTGAGCAGCCATGTTGTGGACCATGTCTGGTACCAAGCATGTTGGACTGTTGTCAGCCTGGCATATATGAAACGCAACCACTCTTGAAGCTAGGGAAGTGAATGCAGACGTGGAAGGTTGATTTAATGGAGTAGCCTTTGCATCTAGAGGAGAAAAGACATTTTTGAAATAAAGTCACAATAGAAATGATTATTCTTACATATTCTGGGTATAATTAAAGTAAGACAGGAATTATCCTTTTACACTTAGTAATAAAAGCCCAGCCTTGAAATTATGAGATGTACAGCTGCTATCAGACAGATGATTTTGCTATGAAGTAGACTGGAGATATAAATTCCAACAGTAGTTGCATAGTACACTGTATTTATAGAAGTACCTGTAAATTTTATAAGTTAACAACATATATTTCTTACCTGGGTAACCAAGTAACTGTGCAATAGGACTTCTCGAGACAAGATGACCAAGCAGAGCAGTCTTTCCCATTCCTACGTCCCCAGTCAGTACAATGCCCTTAATTTTGGGATTCTGATCCTTACTAAAGCACATCTCCATCTCGGAAAACAGCCAATCACGGCCAATGAACATATCATTATCCATGATACCAGGAACCTCAAAGAGGATTGGTCGAAGGAATACCTGAGGAGGTTTGTACGGTGCATAGCGAACTGGAAAGAGAGGAGATGCCTTTACTCAACATTTTTACTGCAGCAAACATTAAAATATGATCACTTTAAAACAAATGAACTCCACTACTGAGTAAAGAAGTGCATTTAAACTTGATACAATAGAAAACAATAAAATCACAAACTTTATAGTATGTTTCATTGTCGTTGTCATTGTTGTTGTTATTATTAATATTATTACTATTATTATTATTATTATTATTATTATTATTATTACTATTTTATTTAACCATACCTTGAGTTTGAACTATTGGTAATCAGTGACTAGCAATTAATGCTGGTATGATATTTGTCTAATTTCAAATTGAGTGAAGATATTATTTTACTAGTTTTAGTAAGTGAATCTTTGTATTTATTTCTCTAATGAACTGTGATTCCAATAGTCTGCTTAAGGTGACAACCCTATCCAAGATGCATGGTGTCCATGGAAAGTAAGCTGTTTACAAGGATTAGTGTTGTCCCTGCATATGCTGTTGATGATAGTAACAATGAGCTTTCGCAAATGCAGCGCAGACATCCTCTAGGACTAAAAGCAATGAACTGTGACCGTCCTTGATACCTGTCTGCGTTCTGATCATTCGCAGTTTCACAATTGAAAAACGAACGGTAGTGCGTGACATCATTAAGCTGACACACGCCCTCTTTTTTAGGTGTCCTAAAGAGGGCTTATTAGCTGCTTGGTATCCCTAAAGAGTGCTGATTGGCTGCTTGAGCTAGTCGTTCGTGATTCTCCACAGACGATAAATTGGTTAAAAACAGTTCGTGATTTTGCCAAGGACGAGAGGCTGTGGGGGTCGTGCATGCGCAGATCGATTTTCATGTCAAATTACCATTTTGAGTCCATCCGTTGTTGATGCGAAAGCTCACTAATTTTTTATATTGGGGGTTTTAATCATTTTATAATATCCGTTGTTGTTGATGACATAATCCCAATCAGCGTGTTCATTGGTTGCATCGCAATTCAGAATTGGGACGTTCCTCCTTCAAAAAACCGTTTACAATCATAGATCATACTATTTCCCACTAATCTAGACATGAGAATTGACCTTACCTTTTATATCTATGTTTGATCTGCTAATATTTTTATCCTGGTCACGTAACGATCTTCTCGTGAGCGAGCCTCTACCATTCATGATGTGCGACTCCTCACCTGTGTCAATTGTACCTGTACAACAAATCACAAGATATAAGCATTTGAAATATGCACACGCTTTGCATTGCGTGTTAACACAGATCAGACTTCATAAAAACAAATAGCAAAGTTATTTAAAGTAATCATATATCCAAATGGAGTTGAATTAGTCTCAGTTTTGTGTTTTTATTAAGTTTTGTTTTGTAAAAAGAATTAAAAATACTGAGCGATAATAATAATAATAGAAAAAAATTTTTTTTTAAAAAGTGAATAAAGAATTTTAAACTTTAAGAAAATATAAAAAATATAATATGTAATAATATAATTAAAAAAACTTAATTGATAAAAATATCAAACAATAATAATGACATCTTTGATACATTGAAATAGTGACTTGTGATTTGAACTTTAAATTCATTTATGTATCATTACTTGTATTATTTATCAAATTTCAGGATAAAACAAATATTATAATCTGTATCATGCAAAAGTAGGAAGTAATTAAAGAATAAATGTACAAACACAAAATCAGAAAACTTGTAGTATAAAGTGTTCACCAACATACATAGCTACACTTATACATGCACAAGATAATATTCATTTTTTTAACACCAAAGTCAGGACAAATACCTATGCTTTACAAATGCCAAGAAAAGAATCTCAAACCAGGTGTACTAAATACAAGGCACTTAGTGTTAAACATGCACTAGAACAACTGCACTAGAGCTACTATGTAGCATCTCCACTGTTTTTAAAACCTGCCTGATGTACTCTGAATATATCATAAAGATCTTCGCTATTGTGAAGCATGGCTATAAATTTCTATTCTATCCAGATTCTACTACTACAGAGACAGAAAACCATTTACCACACACTGAGAACAACAAGGATTTACTATAAAAGGTTCAGCCCTTTCATAAAGGCATCATCCTGAGCTTTGAAGTACTTTAAAAATATTATATAGGCTTCCTTTTAGATATATATAATGTCCTCTCAGTGGGTCTTATTTGCCCCAGCAAAGCCTCGCTTCCTCTGCCTCACAAACTTACAAATAACACAAGGGCCCCATTATTCCGCATGCCTAGGATCCCCAACTAAATTGTGGGACCATATTCATACTTTAATGTTTGTTAAAAAGTAAACATCCTGAATATCCTATGATATGATTGGCCATGATGCATTAACCATATACCTATAAATCTACTGTACATATAGCTACTAACTCTTAGTATACCACCTTGAAACAAAAAGTACAGACAAAAAGAACTTTTTATTCCTTCACCAAGAAAAAAATAAATAAATAAAATTTAATTCTAATAGAAAATTTCAAAAATATATCCAAAAAAATTATAAGATGCAGCAGGTTACATCAGATGTCCCCAGACTTTTTAAACCAAAAGCAAGTTCATGCAAACATCAATCAAATTGTGCAAATAGTGTGGAGGGAAAAAACCACAAACAAAAATCGCATAACTAAAATAATTGAAATAAGAATATAGAGAGTGACATATACCATAGATTTGCCACTCACTGGCAAGCCTCTCAAGGCTGTTGGATGTACTGCGTGATCTCGGTCCTTGGGTGAAAAAAAAAAACGGAGCAAAAATGTCTACGGATTACCCAATATTCAGTCTTTTCAGAATTAAAATAAAAACATATGCATATATATATACAAAGCCTACGGATGCCAATGTACATATGAAATACTCTTTGTTGTTCTTTGTAATTATTGGCTGAGTATGTACATGATATTATGCAAAGCAAATAAAATATAGATTATGATGATATATGATAATTCTCTAATCATATCATTTGAGAAATGAAATCCAAAGAAATTTTTATTTATGTTATTTTTTATGTATGTTATTATTTATTATTATGTTGTTTTTATGTTTTTGTTTTCAATGTGTGAAGAAATCAACATATTACCAGATGGTTTTATACAATTCTTCAATGAAAACAATTTGTTGACAAACTGTAGCAATGTTCGTAAAATAGTCATATATTATTCATAGCAAATTTTGTTCTCTACACCATAAGCATAGCCAAAGAAATGTTGGCAAGTATTGTCTTTATTGCGTATCCATTTAAGCAGGTGTTTGAGCATAGGTATGAAAGACATTAAAACACCTTGGCAGTCATTCTCAATGAACCATCGATCAAGACACAACCGAGACAAACGTCCGCCTCAGATTCATAACAATGTAAAGGGACAATGCTCAATTTATAAAGGTCAAAGTTGGTGATACTGGATTGAGTCATAAAATTGGTAATAAAATCGTCATGGTAATACAGATAGTTGATGAAGAGAAAAACATTTGATATGGAACAATACTGTAAGTCTCATTTGAGTCCTATCCACCAAATAAATCAATGGTATAAGTGCGATGGTGTAAATGTAAATTTACAGTATATAGACTCACTTGAATAAGCTTGCGATACGCTATATATAATAAAACATTAAACATCAATTCAAGAATTGACAACTCTAATACCATCACCATTATTATTATTGTTTATATGAAATACGACATTATGTTAACATTTCATTACATAGCTTCTATAAACTATGTAATTTTATAGTTTTTTGTATTTTTATTTAGCAAGGAAAATCTTCAAATGAAGCATATCCATTGGGACATCAACATGCCCAACATTTTCTAAGATTGAAAGTAGGACCATAGGATCTTAACCATGCTGGTACAAGATGTGAAAGAAATCTCATTTTAAAAATATTATTTATATACAATGTGTAATCTTCTCTTTTCAGAAATCACATCCTTAACATTACCCACTCCGAATTACTGTACCATAGAGCTAGCATAATATTACAGTAAATAGGTATCAAATTAAAAATTGAACGGAATGAAAGGCTGTTATCATAAACAAATTATGACTATTAATACCAATAATCATCAGATGAATATTGATGTCATTATGATAAATGTTGATATCAAATGATACATTTTGAAATCATTATATTAATATACAGTTGTAATGAAATGATGAATGATCATAAAAAATGTTAAATTTTACTCTACTACTTTATTCAATTCATGCTTTATGTATACTTTTGTACTTTTAATCATTTATTTTGAAATTGCGACATAATATATGTTTGATTATTATTATTAAAATATTAATACAAATTGAATATATCGAATATTAAAATCAAACATTAAATAACAAATTAAACTTACTGAATGTTGCTTCTTTTGCAGCTAGGATGTTGGCTAGTCCAGGGGGCGGAGTTTGAGCTCGAGGTCCTGTTTTAGAATCCCTCGTTTCCAACACAGCATCAACACTAGCAATACGATGTCGACGACCCATTTCGGATGATGTGGGCTGGGAATGTGCAACATTCATCTGAAATGGCTGTCTCGGATTTGCCTGCTTTATTGAACGTCCTGGTTGTGTTTTATATCCATCGTAAACCTGTTTCTGATAGTAACCTCCAGCTGTTTGTGGCTCTGCGATGTTCACAGAATGTGACTGAGCAATGCTGGACCTTGGGCTAGAAGACTCTTCCTTGTCTATGTTTACTGGGAAGGGTTGGCTCATACTATGACTAAGCTGGGTCCTCACGGAGAAATCAGTCTGGGGACTGGAAGACTTGGGGTTGGAGGGTATATTACTAGAGATTTGTTTATTAAACATCTCATCTTTGCTGGTGAGAGCCTGTGCAAAGTTGGCCTTCACATGAGTAGGAGTAGCATTAGCTACTTTAAATGTCTGATTAGAGGGTTTAGTGACCGTCTTTGTGCTGGAGACAGCCTCAATTTTCGGTTGATCCTTGTTAGGGGATTGGAGCTTACCTCTCAAAGGGTAAGAATTATCCAAGTTGCTGTTGAAACGCAGAGTCAACACAGCAGGCTCTCCTGTATTATGTTCACCCATTCCGTTAATTTCATTTGAGCTATTCTCACTTTGAGTGGGCTTATGAGTTGGGTTAAGCATGAGTCGTTCAAATTCTGCACTTCTTCGCTGCACTAAACCCTTCCCTCGAGGAATCTGACTGCGACCCTTCCTGAGGCTGACCTCTTTTGTCATTCCCTGTATTTTGTCATCATTTTCCTTGTTCACATTTTGAGAATCTAATGGTTTAATTCCAATTTTCACATGATCCTCATGTTCTTTACCCAACAATCTGTCACCTATCCCTGACTGGGCTGCTACTGATGGTATAAATTCTTTATTTTCCTGAAAGTTTTCTTGGTTTCCAGCAACTCCTTCATGTACCTCTTTCTTACCATACATTCTTGAATGTTCCTCAAGATCCTCAAAGCTTACATAATCTTTGACGCTTGTAATTGTCTTATAAGGCATGTGGTATTGAGTTGCATGTGAGCTGTTACTTTTAGTACGTAAACCAGTGTCAATCTCTGACGTAACCTGCAATTTATCTAAATCTGGTCTATAAAATATTTGCGAATTATCTGTCAATAAGTTTGATTCCTTATCCGGTGCTTTTTTATTTTGGAATTCATTTGATATTTCCGATGAATCTGATCTATCATATCTCATACAAAATGACAAAGGTTCGCTGACATTTTTTTGAACTGGACTGCGGAAAAAATCGTTAGCGTGAGAAACTCTTTGGTGCGGTGGGAATGTTGGAGAGTGGTGGAGATCTTGAGGACTATTTTCATGGTTCTCTGATGCTGGAGAGTGTTTACTTGGATCTTTGGGTAATGGAATTGACTCAGTTTTTTCATCAAGTGTGGATTTTGTTGAAACTGGTGCTGTAATATAAGAATACACTGTTAGAGTCCATTAATTATATTTTCTGAAACAAAGACATACCCCATTGATGTCATTTAACTAAATTGTGATGATCTACATGTCATTACCAAATTAGTATGTGGGATAATTCCATGGTTCAGCATGATTGTGTAGTATCAATATCAACTTATCTAGAAAGTTAAGCAAAGAAAATGTCTGCAGCTTTGAGACTCAAACTGTCATGTAGATTTAGAGTATGTCAACTGAGCCAACCTGCCTTGGCAATTCCCAATATTAGCAGTTGCATCTCATTTATTTTATCACTTTATTTTTATTGCTTATAAAATAAATGTAACAGACTTTAAATGTTTTCATATGTTCTGTTTTTACTGACATAGAAAATAGAATGCTTTATTACTCTAAATTTCAATACAGTATTTATGGTAATGTAAATAAAATTGGTTTTTAATGCACTGAAGCAATCTTCTTCAGTCAGACTGAGGTGCTATATATAATAGTAAAAAAACTATAATTTTAAACTTCTTCAATACCTTTAGCAATTGGTTTTAAGTCTGCAGAGACAGTATCTGCATCTGATGCATGCTTTGCAGGGCTAGTGGTGGGCTGTGATAGAGCAACTGGTGTAGAGAATGGGGTAGAATCCTCATCGGTCCATATACTTGTATCGTTCAATGATGACACAGTAGTGAATGTATCTTGTGTGGTGTTCGGTGATGCATGATTAGATGCAACGCCTTCACGCAGAAGTTGCACTGACTTTGGTAGAGGAACAGCATTTGAAACTGGTTTTGGAGCACCATTCTTTGAGCTGTTTTCAAAGCTGTTTTCATTGTTCAAATCAGCTCCTAATTCATCTAAGAATTCGGTGGAACCTCTCTTCTCAAACAAATTGCCAAGTCTTGATATCAGGGCAATTGCAGCTTCTGATGGGGGTGGTGGAGGTATATCGTCATCTAAAAAAGTGTTAGGAGATTTAAAAAAAACAGAGTTTTTGGTAAGGGTTATGCTTGATACGATTATAAGTAAATATTATTTATTATTTTCCTGGTAAAGCACTGTTATACAATCATTGAAATTATTAATTTACAAATGAATAATTAAAATTAGATAAATTTAATATTTTTATTGTATTTAATGTAATGTATTTATGTTTTCATGTACACTTTGTACAGATCAGACAGGTTACTTTATTATATTTTTTACTAATTTGACCTTTAATACGGTTAATATTTGGAAACAAAAATGAATATGAAAAGACTATTAAATAATGGCACATGCAAGAATCCATACCAATGAGAGATGAAAATTATCTGTTTATTAACATTCCCAAATGCATTGACTAGTTGTTTATATTGGAAGGCAAGCATATTAATAACACCCACAATGCCTATGTAATACATCTGATTGTTATACTGTAATTTTCGCCTTATTGCACTTCAATGCAATTCACAGGAAATGATGCTATTTGTGAATTTATTTTTTTAAATGAATTGCAGATATAGATGTTGATTATAGCTAGCAGAAACATACAGTTGACCTAATTCATTTTGCAAGCCCAAGTCATCAGAATAATTATAGTAAAAGTTAATATAAAAAATAAAGCGTAATAACAACAGTAAAATTTTAATAATCTGAAATGATAATATTGCTATGAAAAATAATGATATAAATGATGACGTATACTGATAAAGATGATAATGTGGAAGATGATGATGATGATGATGATGATGAGAATAAAGATGATTATTGAAGATGATAATGATGATGATGACATTTGAGGATTAAGGTATTGGTGGTGATGATGATGAGGATAATAATGACAATATGAACAAAAATGCCAAATATAATAATGATATATATGTATACTCTACATTGACAGATGATGCAATGAGTCTCGAATTCATGAGATATTCCTCCAAAAAACGAAAAAGCAAAGTTTGTACATCAATGGTAAATATTCATGATGTATTTATCAATCGATCACATTATATAGACACACAACCTTACCATCATAAAAGCTCTCTGTGAGGTTATCCATTTCGTCACTCTCTGATTGGCTGGAGTATTCAGCAGAGTACGACTCAGAGGCTGAGTCAACCTCTGACGGCGGTGTTGCCGTATTTCTTGAGGGTTTCACTGCCTGCAGCTCAGGAGCTGTTTAGAGAGATACGCAATAAATGAAAATTAACTTATGTATCTGATATAATGTTTAAAGAAATACAAATCATTGTTCAATAATTTACTGTGTGTACGCATCACCATCATCATTTAATTTTAATTTTTTTTCATTTTTATTTTTAATTTTTAATATTTAATTTTTAATTTAATTATTTTTTATTTATTTAAATTTATTTTTATTCATTTATATATTTATTTATTTATTTATTTTTATTTTTTTACTGTACCTTTAAAGGGGAAGTCTACAAAGAGATTGAGAATTTCATTCCCTACATTTAAAGTCTTAATAGTTTACCTGGCAAATCTGATTGTGTATTGGGCAATGCCATTGGCTGGATGGTTGACTCTAGTTCCTGGAGATCTGGGAAGAACTTCCTCGGTTCTTTTAGATTTGATGACGTTTTAGTAGAAGCAGGTGGGGATGAAATGTTGATAACATCTTGAAAAAACTTCCTCTTGTCTTTCATACCTAGCAAAAGAAAACAACTTCATATTAAAGATGTATTGTTTAAATGCATACTTGCTGAAAGGCCAATGCTCAATAAACTAGAAGAAAATCAACAATTACAAATCAAGTAATCACAGCATACATTTCCTGAGCCTGTATTTTTAATACTCTATCCCTGAAAAGCAACATAAAAGTATTCTCGGTAATTAACAGATTTGATTGAACTTCCATAATAAAAAGTTACATCAGTGGTGGATCCAGGAATTCGAAATAGATGGTTGCCCAGGGAGGAATTTTCACAGGTGGAGAGTCAGCCTAACCATGGTTTTGGGGCTGAAGTAAGAAAATTTATGATTATGGCACTATATGTCCGGAAATGGCACTTTCAGATTTTCCTTTTTTTCCCCATTTTTTTTTATAATTTTGAAAAATTGTGAGGGGGTGGACCCTCCTCCTTGAATCCACTACTATCATTGAAAACTGAATTGTTTTGGTCTGGGTTCATGAAGCAAGTCACTGTTTCATTTGTATTTTGTAGGGATTTCAGATTTTCTCACAGACTGTACACCTTTAACATCATGAACTTTCCATAATGTGATGATTGTAAACTACTCTAGAATCAAATCACAACCTGTATTTATTATGGCATTCCCACGCTTACAATTAGCATTTTTGTTGAGCCGTTTGAATATATACATCATAAATGTTAACATCCTCACCCTCCAGTGTTTATTATAGATGCAAGACAACATATTAATATGATGCTCTATTAATTAGTTATTACTAATTACTGTAATTTTTACGAGTTTTCCTTTAATACTTACTGCCTAATATGCCTACAGTACTTCACAATTATTGTAAATGCAGTTGCATGTTGTTTTTATACCAGAATAAATAAATAAACTTTCTTGATTTCTGGGATGGGTACTTCAACCTTGCATATTAATGACCGCATTTCAGATTGCTTGATTATGATTTATTTATTTATTTATTCTTTCTTTAGACTGCATGCACTTTCAGTACTTGAGTACTGATTTTCAAAGTGGTACACAAACCATGAAATAGAAAGAAGATAATACAAAATAAAGTCAAAAGAAGATTCAATGTAAAACTTAAAAATTAATAGAATGTTGGAATGAATCTAGGGTCATTTCTTTAAAGTTAGTACTTATGATTAGTTCCTGATTTAGATAAACTCTAATACTCTACAGGTGAGGCAAATCAAGTAAATGAAGATGGATGAAAAGAAAGCATGACCTTTGAAAAGCATATTACAAACACCGAGACTCATCAATAATGATATGGGTCATAAAAAATATTATATTAAAAAAGAGCATCATACAAGTTTCTCTTTCCATCTTGATGCCAGTCCTACATTTGAAATCTGTTTCTTGGGAGAGTAAAGAGAAGTCTTATAACTTACCGGATATACTCACGTAAAAGGCGAACCCCGCCACCCAAAACAAATTTTTGGAAGATTTTTGTATATCCAGCATATAAGACAACTCCCCTATTTCATCGTCGGAATCCCTACTTTTTGCTGCTTTTATGGCCTTGATACTGTATCCAGCTGGCTAAAAACGGAGGTAAAACCTAGGGCCAATCTTCCAAATTATACCATTTTATGGGCTTTTAAATGTTCATTAAAATCTTATTTCCCCGCATTAATTGCGTTCATTCATAACAACAGTTAGTAGTTTCATTTCAGTAGTAAATTTATGTGTTGCATACGATCCGCACATCATTTAAAAATAAAAAAATTGTATGTGTTGCGAGTATAAGATGACCCCCCCCGTTTTTCAATTGTAATTTGCTATTTTAAGATTTGTTTTATACGTGAGAATATCTAACTTTAAAGCAGCCTACAGTTCTTTATCAACTACCTGCGTACTGCGGTTTTACTGGTATGAGCTTCTCCAGCCTCCGGCAATATTGTTACGTTAATTATCGGTCTGTATGCCTTGACTTATTACACAGAATTTATAAACCAATTTGATTAATGGAAAGTATGTAGGCTATGACATAACTAAAACGAACACGTTTAAAACTGATATTGAAATAATTAATGTATCCTTGCTTTTCATCAGCCAAAAGATGTTCCAAATTAAATCATATTTCTTGACAATTTTAAGACTTATTTTAATAAAGAATTACGGCTATATGTTTTTAATCAACATAGTTAAAAAAAATGTTTCATAACTGGAAAACTGTAAACAAATAATTTTAAAAAAAACAATGGAATGAAAACCAGGAAATTCATAAGGAGGAAATTTATGGTTTTACAAGGAAGGAAATGAAAATCTCAGAACCAACAAGGCGTTAATTCAAAACTATATATATATATAGATAATACCACCAGCAGAAAGTAATGATCTTAGAATGGTAGGCATGGATCTAAGAATAATAAAATTTTACAAATAATTATAACAGTAATAACAAGAGCGACCGTTCACCGGTCCACGCGTTCCGCCACACTTAAAAATGGTATAGGTACAAGTTATTACATTGGGTTTTTTGGAAGAGTTAATAAGATAGAAATCTTTAAATAATTAGAATGTTTATTTGTATAAAAAAAATTATTATTTAGAATGTTGTTAATTTGTACAAAATTAAAAATATCTTAAAATTGAAAAAAAAAATATTTCTTAAAATTGGAAAAAAAAATTGAATACCAAGACGCGATTCTAACCGACTGCAACATCCATGCTACATGCTCTATTAGTGCATGTAGCATTTCCTGCATGTCCATTCAAAACTGGTGAGGCTGGATGCTTTTAAATACTGGTAACAAGAACAAGAACTAGAACAAGAACATCAGTGAGGCTCTGGGGTCAGCGCCTTTCGCGGATCCAAAAATAAGTACCACATCATCATTTACATTTCAATGAATCCTTGGAACAAATACTGGTAATTCTCGCCCTGGTGAGCATTTCATATTGTTCCCGCTAGCAAAGAAGAAGATATGGTTAAAACGATCTACCATGATTTGGACCCCAACAACGGAGAGAACCTGAATGGCAAACTACTGTTTAAGACCACTTTAAACTTATAATGAGTAGATAAGAAACAAACATTCTTTAATGAGAACTTAGCCCAGAATCTGGTACTAGAAGGTAGGCCGCAATATTTTTAAGCTACTTACAGCTTGCCAAATTCTTATTTATATTTTAACAAGATCTCCCATTATTCAGTAAAATTTACCTGTATACTGTTTTTACAATGATGTTTGAAATAGTACATCATGAATATTCAATGAGCTACAGTGCCTCATACATTCCTTGAGGAAAATTTCTATTCAGTCATGCACATTCAGCATAGGCAAAATTACTTTACAATAATATAACATTCCTATCCTACTGTACCATTTACCCATATTCCTGGGTGATGAGTGAGAAATGTAGATAATGTGCCTTGCTCAGAGGAAACAAAAAATGACCAATGTTTTATTCGAACCTCTGACCTAAGTTTGAGCGACCACTGCAGCAACTACTCTCATATGAACTCTAAATAATCCTCGGAAATTAAAGCTTAAGAAACATGAAATTATTAGTTGAAAAATTCTGATTAAAATTATTTAATATAAAAATATAAAAACTGACATCAATCATCCTATCAACAGATAAAAGCTGCAAACATATCACTTGATATCAATCAAGATTTACAAGCAATGCAGAGTATTGCAGATGATAAAATGTTACTGCAGCAGCAGATAATGACATTTTCATATTTTTTATCAAAATGATAAATGACTATGAATTGTTTTGACAGCGAAGATGACATCTTTTATAGGCTGCTCCATTACTATCACAAAAAAACTAACTTTTTATTAGGTCTTAATGTTATTGCCCAGATATAGATTGAACTCTCATGAATAAAAAATATTTAAATATTTTCCAATGCAATAATTTTGATATAGATAATAAAATATGCAATTTACGATAAGGATTTGTCATAAAACTAATTGTCTAATTGTCAATGAATGTATTGCAGTTAAAATGTTAATACTGTAAAGGAATTTACTAATTTGATAGGGAAGAATGAGAGAAAGTATGCTATGTATATGGTTAGGTTATACCAGTATAATTACATGTAGTTATTAATAAATTTAATTAGTTTAAATAATTATGAACTGTAATGTAGAAACATTCATAAATTTAGAGTAGGTACTATACTTACCTTAGGTGAGAAGCGGGTGTATGATGGCATTCAGTATGCATCATACAATCTTTGGTTTGTTTTAAGGAAATTTTACATTCAATATCATAATGTTTTTCAGGTACAGTAATATATTTTTAGATCTATGTTCAACCGTCTGTGTATTTCATTGAACAGGATATGAGCACTTAAAAAGTTTATTTCTTGAATACTTACCTGGATAAATCGATAAATGCTTAAGTTTCCTTTTAAGGCATTTATCGGTAATATCCAGGTACCGGTAAGTATGTCACTCATAGTCTAACAACATCACTGCTGACTTATTTAATTTAATTCATTACTAAAGCAAGCAAATGCCCCTGCCTCCTGCTGGTGCCAACACTAATAGTGAGTAGTAAGTATTGATATTTTACAGTGAATCTCCCATTCATTGTGAAAATATTATATATAACTTGATAGCAACAACAAATTGATTGGAACCAAGTAACTATTTTACATTTAAACAGCTTTAAAATCACTTTGCCACATTGCACCCACGTTACATTTTATCACATGATACCATACTAAAGGTTAACGTTTCTTTCTCTTTCAAGACAAACTATCGTGTTTCACATTTACAATTAATAACTGAAACATAACCACCAGGCAGTCCTTCTTTCGTAAGCTTTTGCAAAGCATACACTTACTTGCTGTAATCCAGGTCTACTCTACGAATCAGTAATCCTCATGCCAATCTATGTATATGTTATATCTACTATAAAAATCATGAAGTTGCTGCTTCATATTGACATTTCAAACTAGGTTAATGTTTACTATAAAAGCTTAGGTTGCAAATTTTGGATCCACATTCGAAATGTAGGTTTCTATGTCATGTAAAATGAATGGACTTATACTTTAACAGTACTACAGTATATAATGAAGCTAAGTTACTTCATTGCAACCATATGCAAATTAACAGTTCAAAACTAATTGTTGAAGCCAACTGGACTAAAAAAACATTGCAAAGAAACTAAAAATGGCTAAAATTCAGGAGCCCATCCCATTCCAAAAGTTCCCACTCTTTTCAGACTTGAAAATAGTGATTCAACAAAAAATTAGAGCTTTGTTTTAGTGATTGCTGATACCATTGCTATACGATCCTCCAATGTTTTAGGTCTATATAACTTGAAACAATATTTCAGATAACAAAACATAAATTATGTTGAGAGGTATAGAGTTCAACTAGAAAATAAAACTTTGAGAAGTCTGCTAGAATTTGTTGAATATCTCAGTCATATTCCCTATTGACTATATAGTACAGGTATAGCTGGGACACCATTCAGAGATTTCACACCTCAAAGGACAGGAAACAACAGAAACTGAGAAGAGGAATTTCCAAACAAAAATAACAACAAAAGATAAATATATCATGTATCAGGAAATAAGTTATAGGATAGAGGTTTAAGATTTTTTTAGTATACACATAAAAGAGAAGAGACTTCTTCAGTCTGACATTGGCTTAATTACTTTGTAATTCATTTTCTGATAGTTGGTAGGACCTCTATACTGCCACTAAATTTGGCAGCTGATTAGTACAAAATCTTAATCGAGTTAAATTAAATTTAACTTGATAGTTTGGTAATTTTGTTCTTTTGCTATTAAAATTATATTAAGTTCCACCAATTAAAAAACTGGTAGTTGATGCCATACAGTAGGTATAGGGTCTTACTAGAGATGACATCTGCTGGGGAGATCACTGATGATGGTATCCACAGCAGATGCAAGCCACAAAAGCTGATGCACATTAGAGATGGGGGTCCAATAGAGATAGCGTTTCCAACATATGGCAATCATCTGAGGTGTATAGAGATGGCATGAATTTGAATGGCTTTAATAACCCTGATATTGTATTTGTAAGTCTGGTGAATTCAGCTAGCTGTTTTAGATTCTACTTGACACATCTGTTATAGATGCATGGTCATACTAGAGATGAAAGGGCATCCATTACAGTTAGGAACCACATAATAATCACAAATTATCTTCAAGGGACTAACATCCCTTACAAATGGTATGCAGTATTGGTACTATGCACTGGAGAATGAAAACATTATAGGAGGTCTACATCATCGATGATGTCCAATAAAGATTATATCCACTGGAATGACATCCTCAACAAACATAGTCTGCTGTGCTGAAAATAGGAACCTCTGGGGATGGTACAGTATCTACTAAAGACATAATACATTGCATCTTTTGTAAAGGTCTTGAACTTGCCAATATAATGACATGCATCAGCCAGCTAACTTCATCAAACATGCAAATAATAAGCATGAACTCAAGATATGTTACTAAAGCTATTCCAAGCCAAATTAAATCCTTTATCTTTCTACAAATTCTACACAGATATCTAAACTGACAACTAATTTAAAGAGGATCAGAGATAAATAATTACACATCATTTATCAAAATATAAGATCCTGAATTTTGTGATTACATAGCTATCTCCCAAATTGAAGAGGAAATTGTTTAAGGCATACACCATATTTTGCTACTGCTTTGCCTGGATTTGATAGCGAATTATTTAACTGTAAGATAATGTTTCAGGAAATGTATATGTATGTTGCAGGTAAAAAACGAAAGAACTTGAAAGGTCAATTGTTTTGACCTTTCAGGGAAATGAAACTTAAAGAGAACGACTAGATGGGAATCCTACTTCCAAATACAATAGACCACTCCCCTTTGACATTGCTTTTAAGCTCCCACATAATTGTAAACTTGTTGGTAAAGTTATTATTGGCCAGTTTGCTTAAAACTATGGAAAGATCCATTGAAAATTCCTAACACCAAAACAAATGGATCAAAAAAGACTGGCTCCTGGAAACTTGGCCTATTATAGGCCATACTTGATGTTGTGAAAAGGAAAGGAATGAGAAGCTAGCGCAACTGCCAAAAGAAAGAGCAAATGGACAAAAATTAAGAAACAAAGGTTTTATCTCCACAATTAAACAGAGAAAGTAGCAGGAATGTATAGTTAAGTTGTATGTGGTTGTATCCCAGGTGACAAAATACACTTAGCAGCTCTAATTATGTATTTAAATAAATATTATGCTCTTTTCTCAGCTTGAATTACAATAATCCAATGTGTTTTCATAATTATAATTGGGTGATAAATGGTGAATTAAGGTAGCTAATTATTATTATAATTTTCACTGACTTACCTTGATTCTGGGCAGTTACAGAAGGCACAGAGCTCTCATCTTTTACTTGTTTTGCTAATTGAGGTTGATTTTGTGGCATGGTTGTTGTACTAAAATTCTGATCTTGTTGCCTAGACTGTTGTACACGTGAAGCCTGATTTGGAAGTCCCCTTGAAAGTGTTGGGTCAAAATGGTTTGTTCCGGGATACGAATGTGTTAGGCTTCCACTTTGCTGTTGTTGGGGGTGTCCAGTAGGAGAGTGTGATGGAGACACTAGCCTAGGTGAATGTTCTTTTGTTTGTCTTAATAACTGGTCTTGCTGATGTGGTGAAACCCTACTTAGCTGTTGCTGGTGATGACCAGGGGGTGACCGTCGTTTTGACTGTCTGGATAACTGGTCCTGATGATGTGGTGAAATGCCACTTGGCTGCTGTTGTGAATGTCCAATAGGAGATTGTCGCTTTGACTGTCTGGGTAACTGGTCCTTCTGATGTGGCAATACCCCAATTGGCTGGTGCTGGGAATGTCCAGTTGGGGAGGGCAAAGAGGACACTAACTTAGGTGAATGTCGTTTTGACGATCTTGGTAACTGGTCCTGCTGATGTGGAGATATCCTTGCAGAGTAATGTTTCTCATTAGAAGGTGAACCTTTGGAAAAGCCTGGTGAAACTGGTGGTTGTTGTGGTGGTGAAACTTGAGGCTTTGATGGCAGTGGTCTGCGTGGAGAGACTGGTGGGCCGCTGCTGACTGCTTCAGAAAAACCATTCATTCCTGGAGGTAAAAACATAAAACAAAATGTTCATTTTATAATCATACACTTAAATGAGACTGATTATTAATACATTTTTTATATATTTAAAAATAGCAAAGCGTACATTTCTGACAAGTTTATTTTACTAGTACTAATATAATCCAAAGGCTATTTTCATGCTTCTTTATGTTTAAAATATAATGTTATAAACTTAGATTCAAGAAAAATTTAGTGAAAACATGAACAAAAATAGGAACAAAGTTAAACAATACACAGAGGAATAAAGGTGAACATTTTGACAAATGGCAACTTATAGGATGATAATTTTTACAGGGGTTTTTTCCACCTAACAGATAGCTATCACAGAGCAACTTCATGAGCATTTCATACGAGCAAACACTACAGCCTGAATAAGCTTCACAATTACTCAAGAACCTATCAAATTATCTCATCGACTAGCGTATGTAACAGTATATTAACACATTGGAGTGCTATGGAAACGTTCATAACGACACAACTGCGAACTAAATGGGTCTGCAAAATCTTAATTTTGACACTAATGAACACAAAAGCAGAGATCAATATTTTGCTTAGTTTCGGAGTCTTGGAGATACAAGATGGCTGAAAAGACTAGTGGAGAATTAGATTTATAAAAGTTTGGAAATGTTATTTCAAGAGCACTGACTTCATCAGCATTGGTTTGTGTTGATTGCCATTAATGCACCACATGAGTCACAATGATTCTACTGATCAACCTCAGTCTTTCTTAATTACATTTTTCCAACAAAAACAATGAAGAATTCTACTGTATCTATCTAAATATCTATCTACATCAATATTTATACTTTTATTTCGCACGGAATACATAGCATCAAAGAAAGAGTGATTCTGGAAACTTAAAACTACAAATACTTAATCCTATTATTCAAAGCTTTTTTCCCTACAAATATAAAGTTTCAATGGAAGAGCCAATGCCTGAGAAATTGTAATTATTTTTTGTTCTCTGAATTCTCATTACATTTTATCTGCAACTCACTTTACTCAAGCCGATAGTATTAAGCATCTTCCTAATTTAAACTGGCATCAACTTGAAATCATATTTACAATGAGGTCATAATTTATTAATATAACCTCCATCTAACCAGGGATGATCACTTTAGAATTATGGATAACAATTTCATGAACATTCCCTGCATATCATTTTTTACGAGACACTCTTTTATCATTACGCACTCTATACTATTTTACTCTTTTAATGGGTTTTAAATGTTTGTGCAATTTTCATGGAGATTTATATAATGTAGTGTAAACAGTTAAACGGTAATATAAATATAAACCATACCTCTATTTTATGTGATTATATTTCAAAATATAAATAAATACATTATTTCAGCTTTAGTTGCAATTAAGTACTGTATGATTATATACTGTAATCAACTAAAATAATAAATTTATTCAAGTAGTTCACTCTGGTTTCGTAATGCTCTAATGCACTAATGTACAGTATGTCAACACAATTTTACAGTTCTTGTTATTAAGCCAACGTTTGGAAAATGTTACAAATGAATGTTTAGGTTTAATTAAAAAGAATATAAACAGTTAAACGGTATAAATATAAACCATACAGTACCTCTATTTTATGTGATTATATTTCAAAATATAAATAAATACATTATTTCAGCTTTAGTTGCAATTAAGTACTGTATGATTATATACTGTAATCAACTAAAATAATAAATTTATTCAAGTAGTTTACTCTGGTTTCGTAATGCTCTAATGCACTAATGTATGTCAACACAATGTTACAGTCCTTGTTATTAAGCCAATAACATTTGGAAAATGTTACAAATGAATGTTTAGGTTTAATTAAAAAGAATATAACATTGGGTAGGCCTATATTAATCATTGACAACCTAAAACCAAGTTGCTTTACAGTTATCCTTAATTCCCTATGAATGATTTTCCTTTTATTATTAGACTGATTAAAGTACAAATCGAAAATAGCTTTGTAATAATACAGTAGATGATATTCAGATACTCTACATACTAAATTACATAAATAAAACAAAGCAATTATCTGTACAGTAAAGTACAGCCCGGTATCAACATTTATTTATGTTACTATTTACAGACCTCTTCAATCATTGAAAGATTTTTATTTGAAATCTCCATTTCTTAATACAGTAATATATTAAATTTAAACTGCAGACTACTGTCTCCATTAGTAAGTAAAATACATCAATTCTAAAACAGGGGAAGGGAGTTAAAATCAAATGAAAAATGAGCTTGAATTCAATTATGTTACAAACACATAGATTTAACAGGATTCTCAAGAGCTAACAGGATTGCATTCATTTTCCTGAAGAAAGAGAAGCTTTACTCAAAAAGGGTGACTCGGACTGCATCGACTGACGAACGCTTACGCGGCCTTCTTACAGCTTGCCTGAAGCATCTCCTGTCTGTTGACACAGATAGTTTAGTATTATTTTGTTTTAAAGTTTTCTGAAACTTAATATCAAGAATGAAGTACAATTTTAATACAAGTCTACTTAGTATTACCAATTAAAAAAGTTAGTGCTATAAACATAGCTTTAACTCTTTTTATTGAATGTTTATTTGCTTGTTTCAAGCCTGCAGTAAAACACATACACCATTTCTGTTGCACGTCCTGAGAATGCCTTTGTAACCAGACATATTACAGTTAAATGCTTTCATGTTTCAGATTGATTGATAATGTTTCATATGAAGCTAAAAATATCCAAGTAAAAAACAATTTTACCATGTTCTCTCTTTTCTAAAAAAAAAACAAAACAAGGCTAGCGAATCATTCATAATTCCAACTACTGTACTTACACAAGTTTTTTTTCTCTGACAGCATGATCCCGAGAGAAGACAAACAGCTAGCAATTATCAATTTAAATAACAAAGTAACATATGCATTCTATTCTACAGGTACACCAAAGGTCTGAATTTGCCCACAGAGATAGCATTTCATGAATCTGGCATCTAGTCGTGTCGATCTAGCACTCGAGTGAAACTATAGTAGTTTGTTTCTGCCAGTAACTCTGGGACTTATTGCGATGAAATTGTCACATATGGAATTATGATAAACATGTTTCACATAGTACAGTAGTTCATTGCACAGTAATAACTTGTGTTATTTCAACAATTTTGTCATCAAAATATGTATATGATTCTTTAACGATAGATATACAGTACCTACGGTCTCTTTTGAGCCAAAAAATAATTCATTTAATATTTGAACTACTACGAGCTAACCTTAATAGTAGCATTACTATGTGACCATATTTCAGAAATTTTCATCTGATGAACTCAACTAAAATTTAGCAATAGCTTTCTGATGGAAATACTAACTTCTATATCATTTGTGTTATAACAAGAATTGAAATCACCATAGAGTAAAATATTATCTTAAACCAAGTCATATGTCATAGTATGACCTATAACCTAGTTCTACTATTTGTGAGACAGTAATACACAAATAAAAACTTGAAAGCTTTTAAAAAAAAATTCTATCTTATGAATAAATTTACTTGACTATCATCACATACAAATATTTGTAGCATTTGAAAAATATTTCATTACAGTAGCTTGTAGTATGCTTGAGATAAGAATTTCCATGTTCAGTACAGATGTCCAATGAAAGAGCTTGTTACTATTTCTATGAAGAAAAATTTGCTTACGGTATGACAATACCCAAACTAGTCAATGGCGAGCCACTAAACTAAATATAGATCAAATGAATAAAAAAATACTGGAGGGAATAAATGAAAATAAGCTGGCTAAACTTACGCAAATTACATTGAATCTCTGAAATATGTCTCAATCTGTTGGTAATCCTTATCGTAAGTCCACAACCCGAGTGGCGAGACAAGGCATGATTGGTAGTCAATCATGCACATGCAGCATTACAGTGTGGGATTTGATAAAACGAACTACGACAGTTAAGGACTATCTTTCTGATAAATGAATCTAATTCCAGCCAATGTATAGACAAGGCCAACACTTGACCACATACACTTGGTTGTTGATGATCTTAATCATATGCGTACTTTTGTCTGCAAATCATTTCATAAGGTTCACGAGTGGGATTTGCGCTGGGTAGTCTCGGCATGAGGAGGTTTACGAGTTTGCCTGTGGTACAGGTAGTTGTGATTAGTATAGTTGACTGGAACCTCATTCCATCATTATCGTAATCATCATTATTCATGTATATGGGTGATTATACACAGTGCTGTTGACAGACTGTTCTATTTCTTAGTAAGGGGTGTTTTATGTAAGAGGAGGCTTCTTTATATACAAGCACAAGGAAGTATAAAAAATCCATAATATTTTAACTATGGTATTTTAAATTTTTTCAATCTAAAAGTATAAAATTTAAGAATTCAGTTGATTCATATCACTTCCTGGCATTTGGTGAATTAAAAAAACATACGATCAGAATAGTCATTATACGATACGAACATACTATATAATTAACAAAAATAATTAAATAAATAAATTAAAATACAAATTATTCAAGGGAAATATAAGACAGGAATAAGATTGTAAAACCTTTCTAAACTAGCTTAGAAGTAAAGGCCTCCAAGTTCCACCAGGTTTGGACATACGATCAGAATAGTCATAATATGATTAACATATTTAACAAAAATAAATAAAAAATAAAATTAAAATATAAATTATTCAAGGGAAATATGATATATAACAGGAGCAGATTTTGTCGGGGGGGGGGGGGTTAGCCAGCCCCTTTTCAGTAAGTTAAAAAAATTATTTATTGCCCAAAACGCCGCAAAAATTATTTTTCAAGAATTTAGAAAACAACAATTTCCTGGGGTAGTGGTGTCTCTCAATTGCAACCCCCTTTCAGGGACTTCGGTTCCCCCTTTTGGGCATCTCTGGATCCGCCCCTGTATAAAGCCTCAAATTTCCACCAGGTCTGGATTTGTGCTTTGAGAGTATTTGGACAAGCACTTATTTAGTTTTAGTAGAGTCATTACATTTGATACTCATTAAAAATCTCTATGATTCACTCGTATTTAACCTCTTAAGTTGCATCTAGGTCTCAGTATTGGGATGCTAAATTAACCACTAAACAGTTGAGTAACCTGTTCTCATCGTCATTAAGGCAAAGGTATTTTTAATTAGAATGCTGATGTCTGATTGGATGTTTCAGTGTTGTTGTTGGCTTATTCATTAATGACACAGATATATCAAAAATGTTTGTAGAATTCTGACATGTGATTGGATGCTTTGGTGTACAGTGCTCCCACAATTAAATGGTGACAACAGAAATGTACTGTACTTGTCTGATTAAAGACCTTAGATTCATCTGCTTTCTTTCCTGCGATCGAATGCATACAGTATCTATCACCTGCTATTCTCTTCTGATTGAATGACTCGCCATGTTGTCTGCTCTTCAAATAACATTTTGCAAAGGGATATACTCATGATTGTGCAAGTGTATCAAGCTTTAATATTATTAACTAACAGGTAACTAATTCTGACCTACATAAGTACTTTAGTTGTTTACACAAATCAATTCTGAGTCATTCAGTTACTGTGGCAACCTCGTTTATGACAACAATTATAGTGGAAACTGGAATCAGAGATGATGTAAAAGTATGATGACATTAATATTGAGTGGCACATCTTTAGTAATGAGATTAACATTAGAATTGTCACATATTATTACTTTCCAAAACATCATTCTACATACCATTACCTATCCTGCACCATACCCATCACCTTCTAAAATCCAATCATATATCTACATAGACACCTGATCTTATCTTCTGGCTTTGACTCACCTACACACTCTATAACAAATACCTAAACCAGGGCATACGGCACAAAAATTTTTATATTTCACACATGGAGAGTATCAAATACGAACGATAAATATTACAATCCAGGCAAAATCTTGGAAGAATATTAACTTTGCATTAATGGGGGGTGCTATCTATTTAAGATTTGCTCACTTCTTGGTAAACTTAGTTTTATCAATTGCCCTTGCAATTGGCAGCTTAGGCTTGCCTGTGGTACCGTGTGCACTCACCACTGTTCACAATCTGTGCATCAACACTGCACGCTAAAACTTGTGCCGTCGTATTCATTTCTGTAAGCTGGATTAGTCTACATTGAATTTATTTGGCGTGAACATTAAGGTATAATCCACAAAAATACAAAGGCATTTTGTGAGAGATCTTTATGGTAGTGATCTGACAATCATCGACTCTTTAACAAACTAATAAGATATTTTAGGGGGAAAAACCAGGCCTTGACAATGCAAATAGTATCACAGGACTTCCCTACAATACTGTACATGGATATGCTTTCACATACATAAAGTGGTTGTTACAAGTAGTTAAAATATTTGAAATATAATGTCCATGTATATGAGAGAAGTGAGAAATTGAGATACACTAAAAGAATGTTAAAAGGCTTCTGATGAAGAAAACACTGCATCAAATACAGTATGTGATGCATACTTTGGCACTATATACAAGTTCATTATTGATTGACTGTTCACATTAACAAAAAAAATTTTAACAGAGTATGGCATGAATTTTCTCTTACCTGTTGGGCTTGTTACAGGGCTATGCACCATGTCTTGGGCCATTTGACCATGCTTTGACCGTGGCCGGACAGGAGGTGCAGGCTTGACAACAGGTGCTGGCCGTTTAATGGCACTGTCTGTAACTTGTTTTGGACTAGATTCTGCAAACAGAACATCATTTGGTAATTGAAAGAGATAAAAAAAAATACATCATTTTAAGAGCAATGAGTGGATGGGGAATTAGCTGAGATGCTCGCTAGAGGATTGATATTGAGTGGCTACTACTAGTCTTGCAACTACTACTGTATATTTAATATCCTGAAACTAATTTATTATGGTAATTTCTGTAGAATTAGAATTTGATGATACTAGATGTCACTGAAAGATGTGCTACTTACTACAGTATCTTTACTACTAGAGGTTGAAAAATATGCAGTACATACCGTATTACGTAACAAACAGGCAAGGATGTTTAATTCACTAGAGTTATATCTCATATTAGTAAAGGTACAAAACCAACCATACGATGAGGGCGATCATATTAATTATAGCTTGATATGAAATAATATACTGTAACTGTTTTAGTTTAGTGTAAAAGTAAAGAAACTTTTTTACATTACATGTTATCATAAACACATCATTATTAATCTCCATTTCACCAATGATTAATATTTTAATTTACAGGTTAGTCAGTCATGTTTTATCAAGCACTTCACATAAAGACCATCTCCAGCGGGTGTCTGCACCAACATATTCCATCAAAAGGTAATGAAAAACATATAATAAACACATAAAGCTGCAGATTTACTCTCGACATGCTTGTGACAACCCTTCGGCTAGTGGACACAACCAATTAACAGTGTGAAATAGTTATCTGTACACTATTCTTGTCATTGACCTGTTTTCTACAGGAAATTAATGTGGCTATTAGCAAATGATGAAAGATGATTGAGCCTTTATTGAAATACTGTAGGTGCTGGTAGTGTTTTACAAGCCTTGTATAATGCTGGATCGTATGTGAATGATGTTGATGTAGAGTGACAAGAAGACAACGATGAGCTGAAGATAGGAAACTGATGATGACATGATGATGATGATGATAAACTACACAAATCAACAGTGACTTTGGTAGTCCATGAGAGAGATGCTAGATGAACAGTACTAAGGCTTATACTAAAGAAAGCGAAGATGAATGACTAAATTATTTTCTGAGGCATTTTCTGTAAAGAAAACTTAGCAAATATCAGAATCCATCATGAAATAAATGTTTATGGTGACTAATTTGATGGTGGAATGTTTTATAGGCCTTGTAAATGGCAATAGACTGGAGTGGCGATCGATTAATGATACAATACAAATGTGTAGCTAAAGTATGTTGAAATGTCATCATAATCTGCATATAGTACTGTACATTTGCATGCACACTGTACAGTACAATCCACGAATATTCAGCAACAACTCATTCTCTGCACGTGCCATTTAGCATTTAATTTGCACTTAAATTGCAGTTGTCTAGTTGTCCTTTGGGTTTAAAATTGTCATCACTTGGCAGTTGAAATGCAAGTTTTCTCGTGGAGATAGCTTTATGGAGAGAAAAAGACCACTTAATTCCTGAAACTGTCGGCAACTAGTACCATGATTTCAAGTCAAACATCGAGTGAATTTATTGAGTGACTACAGAAAAGGCTTTTGTACAAATGTCCTAAACTGAATTACTGTACTCTAAAAGTTCTAAATGAAAATAAGAACTATTGTAATGATAGGTTAAATGTTTCAGATGAAAAGTTTTATACTGCAGAATAAAGATTAGGAACAGTAGAAAGTCAGAAAAACTTTAAATTTGATACTTTTAAAGTCTTTTGTTGGGTCCAGAGAACATGTAGCTGCTGAGATAGGAACAGAAGCAGAAGCAGCAAATTCTCTTGGTGCCTAATTGGTATGACAGTAAGAGGAAAATAGGCAAGAAAGAACTCTATATCCGGGCCTCATATTTAGTTGCTGCAAGAGTAAGCTAGAAAGGGTGTGGAGCTCCAATGAACAAATGTATTGACTGATTTGAGGATGAAGCTATTGTGAGTGTACAGTATACTGTACTGAAGCAACACCTTGTCCAGGCCTCAAATTTCACTGCTGTAGGTGCCTTCGAAATATCAATGAAATATGTTAAAGAACTAGCAAGTAAATTAGGTTTCAGGCATGAGTGAGCAAAGAAATTACATGATGGCATTCTACTGAACATGATTAATATTTTGATATTTCTTTGAAATATAACTTAACAACATATTGGGATTTACTGTACAAGTAGACCTACCTTTCCTAGCACATACTAAACAGTCCTCCGTAGCGAACATACACGTAAAGCACCTTGCATGTCCACATGAGTCGGTCAATCTGCGTTTCTTTCCCCGGTCATACGGCTGATGGCAGACTGGACACTGAACTGGATTCTCCTCCATGTTGGCAACAATCTGAGGATGAACCACCAAATACAGAATACCTGATTATAAATTGCTAGAGCGCACAATGTGGAATTAGGACAGTTAACAATCAAAGATCAATTTATGTTATGAATGTACAGCAGTTGCATAAAATAATCACATTGACAGTATAATAATCAACAAACACAACAATATAAAGTACATTATTAATTTTGTTTTAATGTCACTTAATACCTAAAAATGCAAGAATATGGCTTGAGTTGAAATGTCTGTAAACATTATATTTTCAATAATGTCCACATTTGAACTAGTATTCATATAATCTCTGTCATAATACAGTTCAAATTAATTTAAAAATACAATTTTGTAATTATACTGTATATATAAATACCTTATATTTACTATATTACTTAATACTATGTATTACAGATACCAAACTGTTGGCCTAATAGATTTTACTTTAGGTTCAAGGGTGAAAGGATTTAGGGTGTGTTTATTGTTAACACAGATCCTGTTAAGTATTGCACAGGTCTACAGTAGGTTCACTGACAAAAAAATAGGTCAGCAACTTCCAAGGACAACCAGGTACTTTACCATACCAACACCATCTTGCACTTCACAACAGATGTACTCGCAGATATATTTGTTTATTATTACAACCAAAAGAAACAACAATGTTTCTTCTAATTGAAAAATTATTTTTTTTAAATAATTATTATTTGAGACTAACTAAAGAGAGGGCATCTGCCCTGTCGAAGGCTCTACATGTAGAAAACTCCTTGGTTCAAACCCCTGTCAGACATGCACCACTGTATAAATCCCTAAACTTTTTCCAATAAACGTATAAAAAGCATGCAATGTGTATTGTAATGTGTCCAATCACACATTACATTATCATATCGGCTCAGGGCTGCCTACGGCCGACTCAAAACGACCATTCCGTTCACAGATAGCATTTTGAGTTGGCTTAGGGTCACATTGCAAATATTCACACTTCATATTTGCACCGGTCCAATGAAATGCAATTTCTGAAAGACTAATGATAGTAACATGCATTTTAAGCACTGATGAAACACCAAGTGATCAGTGATGAAATTCTACCAGGTCTTGGTAAATTAATACTTAATTTAATTAATCTTGCTGCAAACTACATGCTCAGTAAAAAGTGATGAAATTCTACTAGGTCTTGGATAATACTTAATCCTGCTGCAAACTACATGCTCAGTAAAAGTTAAGCAATTTGCATCATAGGATCATACGACATCTTGAAAAAATTTTTTATAAATTTTTTATAAAGACTACCAGTACTTCGTTCAAATTTACTCTAATGTACAGTAGCCCTTACAGTAGTTGAGTTGCAGTAACACAAATTTCACTGTAAAAATGATTCCCCCACCCAGACATACAACAGGGACAGATAGAGAGAACACCCTGACAGGTAAAATACTGTATGTGTTCACTTAAAATGAAATTTAATTTAGTTATAAAGCACAATTATACAAAGCACATGCCCTAAAGCAATTAAATTCAAAGTGGTTATAAGCCCCGTTCATATCCAACTATGGCAAGATAATTTTAGTGGATGAGCTAGATGATCTCGCCATAAGTTTGAGTATGACCGCTCAAGTATGGCGAGATGAAGGCCACAACACGACTAAGCCCGTCGAGTAAATTTATGTCGACTAACTTCTTAATCCAGCCTAAAGCCAGTAAACAATTAAACAGCGGGTGGCCACAGGTCACGAATACACCAATCAAATTGAAGCAAAGTGACCTTCCACATCCGCTGGTTAGCGCGTTTTTTAGTTACTGTCATAAACACAATTCAGAATTGACGCAGTCTCCCTGATCTGTGTACTTTAATTTCAACAAGTCTTATTTTGCAAATGATGGCCGAAAAGTCAGTAATGAAACAGCATCTCTGGACGTATGCGCAGAAATATTTAATAGATATCTGGAGGGAGCCAGAAATCGCCGAAAAAGTTGAAGATAAATTGTATCGTCAGAAGGCTGGTGTCCACGAAAGGATAGCAGAGAGAATGCGGGACTTAGGCCACAACTGTCTCTTATACACATCTTGAACATCGGCAATTGTTGTGACAAAGTTGAAAAATCTAAGAGCAGAACACAAGGCTGTGAGAGACGTTTTTATTCGTGGGACGGGCAAGGGGTCGGCCAATGTAATAAGGGATGATCCGAAATCAGCATGTCCACACTGCCACGCACTAAACAAAATACTTGGGGGAAAAACCAGTGTAAACCCTCCAGCTGGACTCCTCGGCCAGTCTAATCAACTGCCGAGACCTAGGCCTAGCTTACGCCTATGGTCTCGATCTAGCATAAACTAGTCGCGCGAAAATCAACAGTAATTGCCCACCATACGATTGTACTTCCTGTCTAATGATGTGTTTTCCGAATTTCTGGTAGTCAAAATATCTCGCTCTAAACCTTAACGTCGAACGCGATTAGTGGATTTAATCCAATTAACTTGGCAAGTAGATCAGCTACTTCATCTGGCTATAATCCCATATGAACCTAGCTATAGTGTAGTACTGTTAACATTTGCCACTGTACAGTATGTTTGCCATATTGGTTTTGATTTGACAAACATGTGTTGCCTGTAATATAATAATTTGAGTGTTTGTAACAAGCCCTTTTAGTAATGGTATTGCATGGCTTTTTGAATGTAGAGTATACTGTATGTCTTGACATATGACATTTGATATTAAAGATGTCGTGATGAAATTGTACCTTAAAAGTCGCTCTTGAAAAGAGAATATTTACTGTATTCTGTGATGTAATCATGTCAATGTCATCAAAAGAAACATAAAAAAATGGAAAAAAAATGAAATGAAATGTACATTAACTAGAATTTCCAACAACAGTAGTATGTACATACTGATAATACTAAAGATGCCTCGAATGGACAAACACAAGGAAACCTACTTAATATTTAACATTAAAATATTTACTTTGCCTATCCTAGAGGGTTACTGTAGGTTTTGGGTGTGAACTCACTAATCATCACAAAAATGTTGTACAAACGAAAAAGTTTGCCTATATAATTGCTGAGTAAAGCGCATAGGGGCAATGTGCAATATGCGCTATAAATATAACATTATTATTATTATTATTATTATTATTATTATTATTATTATTATTATTATTATTATTATTTATACTAAATATCAAGTGCCTTATATATTAATTACTGTAAACCATGCAGATGAAAATACCTTTTAAAACAAATAACATCTCCACATATACAGTATAAAAAAGGAAAGATACTAAATATTTTGTACAACCTGCTGATTCCCTTGGTAATAAAGACTATCAACTGTATATAGACAAATGCAACAAATGATTCTGAATTACTATACAATAATCCTCTCTGGGGTCACAGTGTTGTCTCATTGCAGCGCATTTATGCCTTATCAATTTGCATTTCAGGAAGCCATATTCATTATTATTATTATTATCCACAAGCATGCACACTGAAGCAGATAAAGGATAAAGAGATCAGAGTCTGATGGGCTGGGATAGCCTTGGAGTTTATGTCACTGGGAACACCTATTAAAGTCAATTATCACAATGCAAGTGAATCATATGCTAGAAAACGTGTACAATTTAAGTATTATAATCTAGCTGAGTAATCGCTTTGAAAGCACTCAATGAAATGGGCACGCTACTTGATAATTTTGATGATTCAGGATTGTAGTGGGCAGGAGCAGATTCTACTAATGCAATCAACGACACAATGCCAAATTGTTGTTCTCAACAGGTGCATAATGATACAAGTACCAATTTCACTGATTAATGGATACAGCATAAATACAACAGAAATGTTCATAATTTTGAATAAATCAGTTTCTCTATTCGCTGGGGTTTTACAAAATATAAAGAATTGAGGATTCAAAATGATCAGCATAGCTTGATAATTTAATCATCATTTTAATAATAAAAACATAATAAATATATTATTAAAAAATAAAATGTTTAATAATAATGACATTAACAATAGTAATAATAATAAACAACTTTATGAGGAAATCATTGTATTTATATCTAATTTTATGTTTTGTTACCTCTGCACCCCTTTATACCTAAGATCGCTTGCAGAATCAACACAGAAGTAGAATTTGAAAGATCAAAAAAATACGCTTTTCAATATAGAATAAAAAAAATCTTGATAAATAATATTGTCAAAATAATATTTGTTTCATTTAAAATATAATTGAGAAATAAGTATTTATCAAAATAAATAATTCCAGTAGTATAGTTATATAAAAAGTCATGATACTGGTGAAAAAGCTAGTGGAAATAATTCAATGTAATGCTTAGGTATTTCTTTTTTTACAAAAACAATTACCGGTACAGTATATTATATTGTAATAAATATTAATACTGTATTTGCACTTCCTAAAAGGGAATGACATATGATTACTGTATAAACATCCTTTATGGAGGTGACTAACACTTTGCCACACTGATAACCTTATTGTTGTTTTCATTAAAGAGAGACATTCCCAAGAGCTCTTTTCATAGCCTGGAGTACAGCAGTACAGCAACAAAGGTCATGCAGGTATTAAATGAGGATACACCATAGCCAATCATAAGACAATAGACCTCAGGATGATTACATTTAAACAAATGAATACAAATGAAAAACAGTATGGCATATGTAAATATAAGTTAAATAATGCCAATATAATACGCAGTATTGAAACGATTGCATGTTTGATTGGAATTCCGACAAGGTTGTATCATCAACATAACGTTTTCAGCCACTCCTGCCGGAAACCCCTCCCGGATTACAGTAACTTCCAATTACTTAACCTAGCCAATCATGATTCTGGTTAACCTATCAAAGAATAATCACTTACAGATGTACTCTTCGTTAACATTTCTTATGTTTGAGCAATCTAACGAGAACTATGCTGATCTATAGATATCATGTATGCTCTAATAACTACTGTACCAGTTCAATGCTAGAGGCTATATTCAATGTAATCCAGATAAGTTAAACACGA